ATTCTGTAAAATTCTATGAGAGATGTTGTGACAAGCAGTATTCCTATTCAATTCTGGCAGAGGTTAGCAATGTTTTAATGTCAAGAGGATCAAATCCTCAGTATTATTTCCAGGTGCTCACAGGGGCTGATAAAGTAATCTTTGCTCTCAAAATAGACAAGAAACAGGTATGGCACTGGTACAAAAGGAATAGCCACCCAAGAACATCTGCAGTTACACGGGATGCATCCAACAGTGTCATTCTGTTAGTGCAAATAACTTGGGATCGCAGAAACCAAGCTTTGAGCTATGTGCCACAGGAGACTACAACTCAACTTCTGCTTGCACAACTTGTAATAAACATCTAATTTTATCTACTACTATGTGCGGTTCCTTTAAATAGTCGTAATTATTGTATCCTTTTAGGGAAATGGAAACTTCCCCTCCTTTAAGGAGTATAATAACCTGCAGAAGTAATTTCAGGGGTCAGATCATTCAAGAGAAATGCAGATTCATCATCCGGTCCAAAAATCCATACATTACCCAGTGCATCACCGAATTTCTATTACTTATTTGTGGCAGTCACCTAGGTTTAGTTAATTCATAACCCAAACTACCCTGTTCAAAAAACAAAAAACAAACTCTTAATCATAACTATAGTGTTTGGCTAATCTTGTAATTAGATCAGCTTCCCCTAACCATGTACCTTCCAGATCTGGGAAAAAGAAAAGTGAAAAAATGTCAAAATGCAGTAGGTCCCAACCAGGGTTGCTGACCAAGAGAGGCTACAAATGGTTTAAGAGCCAGTGTAGCATAACAGTTAGAGTGTTGTACTGGGACAAGATCCAGGTTCTAGTCCCACTTGACCATGAAGTTCACTGAGTGCCTTTGAGCAGGTTGCTGACTTGCAGGCTACTTTAGATCACAGGATTATTATGAGGATAAATGGAAAGAAAAATTGTATAGCCCATCTTTGGTTCCTTGCAGAAAAAGACAGGGTTTCATCTTTTGCACTCACTTTGAAGGAGCATGTTCATACCTTGGGGGTGCACCTTGAGAAACCTTTGTTGCCTGAGGTTCAGTTGCCTTCTACCAAGCAGTGGCCCAGATATGCCCCTATTTGGAGGGAATACTCTGGGTCAGCACACTCTGATGTACACTACAGGAGATCACCTATATACCACTCATTTCACAAGCAAATACCTTTTCATGGATTTGAAGCTGGCATTTAACTTATTTACAATCTCTATTAGTAAATGTCCATTGTTGGTACCTACTGCACTTTGACAGCAGAAAATGGCCAGGATATTGACTAAGCAGTTTTTCAGATCAGATTCCTATAAATATGCAGGTATACACTAGCAACTTTTGTGCGCCTTTTTTGCCGAAAGTTCAAGATATAAATCCCACTCCAAAATGTGGAAATTGCTGTCATTGGGGGAGAAAGGTAATCCACAAACTGGTTCAACTCAGTACAAATTGAGTCAACACTTGGATGGGAGAGTAAATGGAACAAAATCCATAGTGGTGAACTGGAAAACTCTAGAGTCTTTTTGTACCCAAACAGAATTCTCATGCATTCCTACTGCAGTCCTGACATCTGTAGGGTACCAGGTAGAAGAAGATTGCATAGATATTAACTCAAACTTGTTGCTCTTTTTAAAATCTACAAAAGCTTAGAAGGTAAAATAGAGGAACCTGGTATTAGTGTAGGAGAATAAGGCCTATAATGGAATTAGATTATTAAAGTGTGATAGAAATCTCTTGTTTGTTTAGGATAATCTTTGATTAAGCAACAGCCACAATAATTCAGGATAAAAAGCTTCAATTCCCTAACCAGTAAGACAGAGGTACAAATTCCAAAGGGGAAATATAATTTTGCAATGGTTTCATATGTAAGGAATTTCTACATAGGAGAATATCTGAATGTTGGTAGTTGTCCGTATGATTCAAACTAGTTTCCAAGACTGCTGCTTTTTGATATGTTAGTGCCGACTATTAATTCCAACAGTTTCAACAAGCTTGTTCTAACAAAATGTTTCTTTGTTTCTTTGCATACCCTAACAGGCAGTTGTAAAATCCTCTCATTCCAACATAGTGTTTGTCTCTATTCTTGACCATCCCAGCATTGGCAGATGTTTCCTCTCTACCTTCATAAGAATCCATTTTAATCACTGCGACTGAGTGCTATCACTGAGACTTATACTTTTGGCTATGTTACTGTCTTGGACTTGATCCTGTATGGTTTTACTGCAGGAGTCCTCAAACTTTTTAAACAGGGGACCAGTTCACTGTCCCTCAGACAGTTGGGGCCTGGACTATAGTTTGAAAAAAATATGATTGAATTCCTATGCACACTGCACATACCTTATCTGTAGTGCAAAAACAGGAAAAACAATACAGTATTTAAAATGAAGAACAATTTTAATCAACATAAACTTATTAGTATTTCAATGGGAAGTATGGGCCTGCTTTTGGCTAATGAGATGGTGGCAGCCCAGAAACGTGTCCCAGAAATGTGTCCACAGCAACACAATGATACGATTGTGTTTACGATTGTGTAAAACTGATACGATTAGGACCATTTCTGCAGAGAACAATCATAAGCTCATCATGAGCACAGAGTTCATTTACATATGTGGTAGTGTGATCCACAGGGGATTGCTTTTTGGAAAGCAATGGACAGTGGTGATGAAGCAATCAGTCGCCTCCACACCACCTGTTTTAACCACCATCTCCAACAGCAACCAAATGACACTAATAAATCTACACTCACATCAGTGCACACCCATAGAAATACATGACCTGTGGCATCCTACATCAAAATTTGCATTACAATTTATTTTTCATAAGCAAAAATGAGGAGGAGAGATGGAGGGGAGCAACTTCTGAATCTGCTAAAATTATTATTATGTATTAAAAGTATAATAAATAAAACAGCTTTTTAATCTGCTAAATTATTATTATTTATTAAAAATATAATAAATAAAACAGCTTTTTAAAAAGAAAAATCACTGAATATCCACTAGGACCTGCAACCCGAGTCCATCTCTACAAATTATGTCTCTTCATATAGTTTGTAAAGATGGACTCAGATTGCAGGACTTAGTGAATATTCAGTGAGTTTCTCTCTTTTTTTTAAACCAGCGGGTTTTTTTTTTTAATTAAAAAATGTTTGCTCCACTCACTCAGGCTGCAGCAGAAGCCCAAGATGATGCCGTGCCACCCATCAAAAGGGCAAGCACGCCCATGAGCGTGCGCTTGCCTCAGTTGAGGCTTTCCCGGCTCCTCACCACCACCCCGCTTCTGAGCCAGAGGAAGGTCCCCTCGCAGGTGCTCGCCCAGCTCTAGGACGGGGAGTGGGAGGCCAGAGTGGCGAGTGCGGGGCAGCTCTCCTGGCCGGGAAAAGGCTGCAAGGAGGAAGGTAATGGCTGTTTTCCATGGGTCAAGGCGAGGGACGGGGCTGCAGCTGGCCGAGCGGGGTGCGCCTCCCGTCTCTCCCCGCCATGGCGTGGAGAAGCATGGCGGCTGCTTGACAGAGGCGGCAGCTTGCCCAGAGAAGGCTGTGGCAGAGGTGTGGGAGCCGCAAGCCCACTCCCGCTCCGCCTTGGCCCATCTGCCCCTGGGCTTGGTGAGGCAACCGTGGCTTGGCCTGCAGCCCAAGGATGTGGCTCATATTTTTGTGGTTAAAAAAAAAAAAAACCTGGATTAACCTTATTTCATTGAATGTTATGGGGAAATTTGATTTGGTTCATGACCAATGTGGTTCACAACCAGAATCTTGGAATGAATTAAGTCCGTGAACTAAGGTATCACTGTATTTAGAAAATAAAATAAATCTGATACAGAAATATTCATTAATAAAAGTATTATATAGTTACTTATATAGTTATATAGTCCAGAACCTACAGACTTTTTAGAGAGCACGCTGTCTTTATGACAACCAATGTTTTCCTTGAAACATATCTTCTTTGGCTCTAGGATGGGACTGGGCCATTGTTTAACTGAAACAGCTCTTAAACTGATTGATCAGTAATCATGGTAAACAAGGTAATCAGCATCACACCTGTGTCTTGGACAACTCCCATCCTGAACACTTTTAATCAGCAGAATAGAGAGCCTCCTGTCTTACCAAGATCTATCTAATCTCACTTCCTCATGTTTTGCCCTATAAAAATTTAGATTCCCATCTCTTGTACAGATTGTTGTGCACTCCTTATCCAATTGGTGCAGGAAGCTATTACTGGAATCAGACATTAGGTCAAGTTTCTACCAACTGTCTTATTATTTGTTCCCATCTTCATCATGATGGAGAGAAGTAAAGATAAACATTTTCAGGAGCTCTCTGTTGTACTCATTGGTCATCTTTTTCATATAAAATATCATAGCTTTATTTTTTAAAGTCCAGTTACCTGAAGGATTTAACTTAAGCCTCTTAAGGTGAGGGTGGAATTTTTTAAGTAAACTACTAAAACAACTTATCACTATACATATGCATATAGGAGAAGAGAAAGTAGAGGGAATGTGTGGTTAGGTATCTGCAACACCCTGTGTTGTCTGATCAGCTGATAGAAGATAAAGTTTCACACTACTATGCTGTATTGAAGGGTAAAAAAGAAGAATACTGTAAAATAAGGGCAGGGGAAACTGACTACACCCCTGGTAACATCAGATTTTTAGCTCTCGCTCCAGCATAATGTCCATATGGTGCCAGATATTTTCTTTATCCTTTGGTATTAATTTTCAAAGGTATAAAATACATTTCTATTTCAGGACAAAAGGATTTGTTGAAAACATTCTGCATGGTCTTGTACATTTCGTTGTGCTGCACTATACCTTTATTATCTACTGTACTTCCTTCAATGAACATATTAAACACAACTAGGCAGAGATTTTTCAGTTTACTGTTGCCAGATATGTGTAATTTGTGCATAACCCAAAACAGATTCTTATTTATCAAGAAGTTTACATCACATGAAATAAGTACACCCAAACAGTTTAGGAGGTTGTGTTAATATTACCTTTGTAAAATGAGTGGGTAAAGCTCTGCTCAGGGATTAACTTGGCAAGGAATCCATGGTTCAAACTTGGGTGTGGGATAGATGGTATGACCACAACTGTGGAGAAAATCATGGAGTCAATTGTGAGCCAGCTACTTAATGCCTGTGGCTTGGTCCACTGTGGATCCATGAAAGAAGTCCTATCTCACTGAAACATGCAAACATGACACCAACAACATATTTCTCAGGGAGAAATCAAGAGATAGGAAAACAACATACCTGCAAATAATGCATCATAGAAACAACATTTATAGGGAAAGACAGATATGCATACACAAGACAAGCATGGCTGGAATAGTTAAGATGAAATCAGTAGTTTTCAACTCCACCATTATGAAATAATAAATGAATGGGGAACAAACTAAATATAAACACATAACTGATTTCTCTAAACAAATGACAGCCCTAAAGCTTAAATATTTTTCAAGTACTTCAATGTAAGAATATATGTAATGCAGCTATATATATATGTAAACTAAGTTATAATAATAAATTACATGATCATGATTTGAATAAAGGAAATAACATGAAGTTTAGTCACATAAACAATGTCAGTCAGTAATTTTATCTAAAGTAAAAAAGGCTTCATAGAATAATATAAGCAGTATGAGAGATTAGTACAGTTCAAAGAAGTATGCTTGCAAATAACTAGGTGCAAGTTCCTCTCTCTTGCACGCGTGTGCACGTGCTCACGCTCTCTCTCTCTCTCTCTCTCTCTCTCTCTCTCTCTCTCTCTCTTTCTTGACCACTGATTTCTAAAGAATCTTCACTTGGAAGGAGAAAAAAACATATGGATACCCAAGGCACATTCATAAACCAATCCAGTAGAACTTTAAAAACATGATTTTCAGACTAAGATGGAAGCAATGGAATAAGTCTTTTAAAAAACACACACCTGACAGCTTCTTCAACTAACAGCAGTCCAAGAGGCTGAATTATTCATTTTAATTGGGAAAACTGAGAACCATAGTCTGCATTTCTGCACCAGAGAAACTTTGATGGACTGATATGTTTCTATGTGATTTGCATATGATAATTAAAACATCAAATAAGGAATTTCAGATATGCAAAGAACTGAAAAGGTATAAATACCAACTACTACATAGTGGATTTCCATAGCATTGTCCACTCAGTCATAGAAAAGCAAGAGTGTGAATCCAAATGGATTCCAACATACATTGCAATAAATAGCTTTTCAGAAGTATTCACAGACCACAGAGAAGCTAAGTAAGCATCTGCATTTGTCCTACTATTGGAAATTAAAATATATATATTCAGACGTATCAAAGTTTTCATCACATTGGTTCCTCTAATGATCAAATTAATATTTTTCAAGACTTGAAGTCTGAAGAGGTTTCTCCTTTAAAGTTATACAAAACTGAAATAATGAATGCATGACATTAGTGGGAAGCTTATCTATAGTTATACAAGCTTAACTGAAACAAAAGGATATATTATTCTATTAGAATGTTCTTAAGCCTCCATATGCTGAGTCAATCCTAAAACGTTTTGGCTTAATCTCTGGCCATAAGAGATAGAATATCATAGAAGAAGACCAGAGAGCAACATCATTTATTTGCAAGTTTTAAAAAAACTGGCTGGTATAAAATTAAAGACTTTGTGATGTAAATTTAGGAACCACCTCCATCAAATATTAGTCATCCTTCCAACATCCATGCATATATAAATGCAAAATCTAGTCATGCAAACTGCAAATGTGATCCATAATGCATCTTAAGTCTCATCCACTTCCCTCTAGTTTTAGGAAAAGAAAATCAAGAAAGTATTCACATACGTCCCTAAGATGAGGCACTGCAAGGTAGTACACATCAAAAGAAGGAAAGTTTTATGACCGTGCAAGATGACTCAGGGTAGTTTAAACCAGTTCTCCTACACTGGGCATGGAGAATCATTTTTAGTCAAGGGGCCACATTGCTATTCAGGAAACTTCTCAAATGTTTGTCAAAACTGATGTCACCAGAACACAACATGGGTATGATCATCTCCTTCCCCCTCACACACACATACACCTTGTATGAACACACCTCTTCCAGCTCTCCTCTGTTGATTCAGGCAGGTCAGTGAGGAAGGAAAGATATTTTCCTGCTCAGCATTGGGGAAAAAAAAGACTTTTCCAGTGCTGACCAGGGAATGCAGCTAAACAAAGGCAAGAACTTTGCCCAGCCTATAAAAATTGTGTCAGGATATGAGGAAGAACATCCTGCAGTGGAGAAACCCAACATTTTCCTACCGCCTTTCTGTTTGGTTTAATTCTTAATGCTGGAAAAGTTGTACAATTTGGGATTATGAAATATTTTTTTAAATGATTAATAAAATGTCTAGTCATTTTTTCTGTTCCAGTAACTGAGTTCTTCATATATTACTACCTGGTCTTCTCTAAAATAATTAGTGGCATTTCCAGAAACTATGTAATAGGAAGACTACTGATGCAAAATGTTTGGAAATTTTGAAGCCAGCCATGGAGTCAGGGGATGCTTTTTTCTAACCATGATTTTTCTATTCCTCTATATTTCCATACTGTATATGTTGCTGATAGAATTTAGGAATTACCCTAGCAGTGGTCAGTTTCTCAACATGTGACTAGAATCACTGTTCACAAATTGGTTTTTTTCTAAATGCCCCATGCTTCTGATTGGATGTTGTGGCAGTCAGTTAACGAACTTCTAAAACCCACATGCAGCATGTATATTGTAGATTAAAGTGCCACTGCCTCATGTGATGGAAGAGCATGGGCTTTGCATGTATGGAACTCTCCACTATGGTTCCCAATTGTAATGAAGTTTCCAATTAGTATTTACTATTAAGAAATACTGGCACAGCTATAAAACTTTAAGCACTTCCATCAGAATGAAAGTTTTCCTTCAAGAAATTCAGTGGTTTATTTCCACAGCATAAGCAGGAGACTGTCACCTTACAAATGCAGACAACCTTACAAAGTAAGTAAGAAAGAACTGGCAGAGCAATCCTATGCTTTTTGCAGACCTGCTTCAACATCCAGTGCTCTGCTGGCACACCTGAGGTATTCTTTGCTTTTTTTGTCCTCATTCCTGTTTCTTTTTCTCATAAAAAGGAAACTAAATTGTATTATGTATAGTTCAGTTTGTTCATAAAATTATGATGCTTCATATATTGATAGTTATACATATTTGAGAGCCAATGTGGTGGAGTGGTTAAGAGTGATGGCATGGATCTCCAGAGATCTGGCTTCTAGCCCCAGTCAGCCATGAATGAATGACTTTGGGCCAGTCACTGCCTCTTAACCTAACCTACCTCCCAGGGTTGTTGTTGTGAAAATAAAATGAAGTGGAGTTTGTAAGTCACCTCAGGTTCCTTGAAAGAGGATGAAAGGCAGGATATAAAAATAAGGATGATGAAGATAGCAACAATCTGTATTATGAAAATAATTGCAAATTATCTGAGATTAAATGTTTTTATTATAATTTTATGAGCAAACCAAATTATATAACATATATATGAAGCAAAAAGGGATACAATCCTATACTCACTTGGGATAAATGGGAACTCAATGGAACTTACATCTGACAAGACACATGTACTGGAGTGCTGTAAAATTTAGGTTAGAGCTGTATTTTTTTTTTACCATTTCCCTGAAAATGTCCATCCTCCCACGTCAAACCCAGTTTTTTTCCTCCATGGCTTCAAAATTTCCATATATTTTACGTCTCTACCTATAACAAACAACTAAATCAGCTTTCATAAATGCCAAGTCAACAGACTTTGTAAATTGTACTGAAACCAAACTTATTTTCTGCATATTTTCTTGCACATAGTTTTAGACATGAAATCCCAAACTACTATTACAATACTACCAGAGCCATTCCATTTGCCATCAATATAATCCCAGATTACTTTTCAGACCATGACCCCCCCTTTTTTGCCAGGGATGCAAGAGAAACCTTCTTTATGTCCCTGAATAGCAACTAGTATTCAAGAAATAGGACAAGATAATTTAAAAATGCTTACAAATCTGCAGGAGTCCCCTGATATCCAAAGCATGCTACACTATTCTCTCTTGGATGGACAGGAATGGGACAAATAAATGTTAGATTATTTAAAGAGTATATATGGTATGAATGCTATTTATATATCCTACAACTGATTAGTACTGAAGGTACTCCTTACTGCAGTACTTCCTAATAACACTTCTGCACTGGGAATATTACTTGTGGTTCAAATTTCCTATTCAACCAAAAATGCTGGCTACTCAGTCAGTAGAATGTCTATATCTATGTATGCTAATTTGCTATATCTGATGTTATTTTATCCCAGGCAAGGCCCAGGTGACAATAGGTGATGTTTTCCTCACTCAAGTTATGACTTGAATATGTATCCTGTTAGTCTATTCTTGAAAATAAATGGGTACTCTGTTGCTTCCCCATTACGCCTTGCATTAACTGTCAGTGCACAGAATATACTTTATACCAGGATATATTATTTGCTCATCTATCCCAGTATTAAATACTCTGACAGGGAACAGTTCCCTCATGTCTTAAGTTGAAGGATTTCTCATGATCTCCTGGATGATCGTTGCCCGTTTTTCTTTTTTTTTGACTGGAGATGCCAGGAGTTGAACCTGGATCTTCTTCATGTAAACAATACGGTCCCTCTACTGCAATATTATTAAACCATTAGCCTGGCACAAAATGGTGGCAGAACTGAGGAAAATTACATCATTTGTGAGATGGATTTAAACTGCATGATAAGCTAAATTAAAGAAATAATAATTGAACTCAAAGTAAAATGAAAAAAAAAGTGAATTACATTGGTTATAGTAGAAGGAAGTGCCATATCGCAGCTAACATCTTTTAATAACATCTTTCCTATAGTTCAAGAAGAAAGACCGACCTATGCTAGCAATGAAAATGGACAAGGAAAACAGGAATATTTTCAAAGCAATTTAATTAAAACAAAGCAATCAGAAATTCAGTAAGAGAAACAGATAGTTTAATCTATGATTTTCTTTTTATAATAAAATATTAATAGTCTAAAATTATGCAACATAAACTGAAAAACAGAGGTACCTGTACTTGTTGGTGAATTTATTTCTTGCCTGATATTTCTACCTGCCTGGCTTCCAGACCTTGCAGTTTCTCGTTGTGGTTCAAGTATATCCCGATACTTGGAAACCATTAATACAGAAATGAAGTAAACCACAGCCAAAGCTAAAAACTGTGCCTGCTTGCTATCATCCTATGGAAAAGACAATAAAATACAATTAAAACATACAAAATATCATTAACATTTCTGTCATACTTAACACTTCTAAAACAAAAGCTATACTGCCTAAAACCTAAAATTGTCTGAAGGTCTTTAACACATTCTCTGGCTGAGAGTTACCTGTATATATATCCTTCACAATATGACTCTATATATTAGGGTTCTATTTTATCTTCTAAGTACAGTGCAAGAAAGATTGGACATTAGTTCTTCACAACACATATGAGATCCCTGTGGATCTAGCCTCAGAACATTCCATAAAAACAATCCCGATTTTTTTTAAAAAAAATTTGAATGTATTTCTCTAATTATATCATGCTAATCTCATCCTATCAAAATTTATGTGATATGTAGGTGTCACAAACCTGATCACCTGAACAATTATATTAGGGATTATTTGAAATCACCTGGCATCTGTCTATACCTGAGGTCTGGATTAAATTATGCATCATACCAATTCTGGTCAACAGACCATAGGTTTCACTTACAGGGTTTACCAACTCATTTGTGTCTGTCAAATAAATTCTTTTTCTTTTCTGAGTCACACAATTTTCTTTCATTTCCAGATTGATGGGCACCAAATTACTTAGAGATGCTTCTAGAAAGGTTGATAATGCCTCAAAAATCTACTCTAAATTTTGAAAATAAAAACTGCTTTCAAATGTATCAGGGCAGAGCTACTCAATATTATTGCCTCAAGCAACTCTACCATTATACTGATTCTTTCCATAGCAAAAAACATTATATATGTAAAGAAAGCTTGTTTGCCAGGGTGGATAAAAAATAATGATTCAAAAAACAAATTTAAAAAAAAATCTTTGAAATTTAAATCATATATTCTATTTTTTTAAAAAAAACCATCAATAACATATTAAAATGCATCTCCCTTTAAATAATTTAGTTATAGTAAAAACCCATCATAAACATGCTAAATCTATTTGTAGGGAGCTCTCCTTTGATTCCTAGATACGGCTTGAGGGGCCGCAGGAGAATGAGGTCAGAGATAGTGCTCCAAACTTGAAAGTGGATGTCAGAAATAAAATCCATTCCCCTGCACCCTCAGAAGCAGCACAGAGAAGCACCAGCTGCCCAGCAAAACCAGAGAAGTAACCTTGAAGTGGGGCAAAAGGGGGCAGGCAGTGGGGGTCACAAAGGGGAGGAGACCAGATAGGCTAGGATACAAATTATACTGAGGCTTCTTCAGCTTCCTTCCTTCCACCATTCATCCTGCACTGTACAAGATGGTCAGAAGCCTCTGAGTTTGGGGACTTCCAGTCACTGAGAGAACAAATGACAGGACTGTGTTTATACAGTCTCATAAAACCAAATTAATAGCATTCTACTAAAAACTGTCTTACACTCTCTTTTAGGATACCTGTAAGGATGTGACATGTATAAATTATTAAATCTTCAGTTACACCTAATCATCAGTTTCCTAAATCCAGGGTAACCTTGTATGGTAAGGGATGGTGCAAAAGTCAGAATGCATTATTTAAAATAATTATTTAATTATTTATCTCCATTAAAGTGTTGGGATATATAATGGGGTGCCACATGTTTAATGTAGCGGGTATACAGGATCCTATGAGAAAAGGTATCACATATTTTGGGGCTTTGTAGACAAACACCACCGCTTTAGGAAACTGCACAATTTAGAGTTTTGTAGGTAAGAAGCAGCTTGCAGAATTTTATGAAAAACAAATTCGAAGCTAGTGCATTTGGAATAGAACTGGAATAATGTGATTAGTAAAGCAGGCTTCAGATACCATCTGGCCACACTTCCAGGGTAAGAGACAGTCTAGTTCCCCTTTACTCAGTACTTGGCAGACATCACCTGGAATTCAGTGTTCAGTTCTGGGTACCCAGATTTTGAAAACATACAAAAATCTAGAAGAGTTCAGATAAGGGCAATAAATATGGAAAATTAGCCCTACAATGAGAGACTAGGAGAGCTAGGCATGTTTAGCCTAAAGAAGAGAAGACTTCACAGGGATATGATAGCTCTTTGCAACTACCTCAGAGGCTGTCACAAAGAGGAAGGAAAAGACTTCTTACTCATACTTGAGTGTAGGACACAAGACAATTAACTTAAATACCAGGCTAGACACCAGGATCAACAGTGGAACCAGAGTGGTGGGCTCTCCCACACTAGAGGCATTCCAAAGTGGGATGGTGTGACTTGTCATCCTGTACCAGCAGGAGTCTGGACCCAATGGCTTTCTTGCCCCCACCTCCAACCTTATTATTCTATGAATATATGAATCTATGCACCAACTAAATGTTCTGATCACTTTTCAGAATCTATCTCACATGACAGGGATATAATCCATCTGTGACCAAGGCATGTCTTGTTGATCCAAGAAGGGGAATACCTGCGAGTAGAACACCAACTGTACCTATGCAGAGCACAGCCACCTCCACCACCTGAGTATCCACATCCACCACCAGCCACATTGTGAATGTCGAAGCCTCTCAGGATCAACCCCCTGGAATTCTCTAATAACATGTTTGAGACCCACTCAGATTTGTTCAGGAAACTGTTTGGTAGCAGGATGGGAAGTGCAGCAATAATACATCTTATTTATCTTGCTTGCTTAATGCCAGGAATAGTTTCTATTAACCCACCCTCATCATGAGAATTTTCCTGTTGAGTTAGATGGACCACAGCAATTCCCCTCTCCTCAAACATTCTAACCTGGGATGATGCTTCACTCTGCGTCCAGATGGGCAGAGCTAGGTTAGATGAACCAGGTTTTTGTCATGTATGCCAAATTAGCTCCCTCAGCCACAATTAAACCACAGAAGCACCTATACACATCCCTCACCAAATGTTGGTGACGTGTGCATTTTACACAATGGCAGTTTGGCCTATATGAGTATTTAGACTTACGAAATTGTGACCTATTCAATCTCATCCTATTTTGTGCAATCAAAACCTTTTTATACATTTCTTCTAACGATGGTTCACCATGAACTGGATGTTTCTGAGCTCTTCCCTTCTTACCAGGATTCAGTTTAAAAGCTGCTCTGCTACCTTTTTACTATTAAGGGCCAGCAGGCTGGTTCCATTCAGGATCACATAGAGTCTGTCATTTCTGAACAGGCCCAACTTCTCCTAAAATGTTCTCCAGTGCCTAATGAAATCTAAATCCATCCTCCTACACCACCATCTCATCAGCTTCACCTATAAGCTTCACCTATCAAACTGGCTCAGTGTAGGAACTTGGAGGTCCTCCTTCACAGCAACCTAAATTTACCTGCCAGGCATCACAATCAATTTCCCCACGCGATTAAGTGTTGGCATGCACCACAATTGCCTCCACAAATTCATCTTGAAAGCTGCCTGCAATCCCCCGCCTCAACATCTCAACCGTACTACCTTGAAAAGCTTCCTCTGTGTCATGGTGGCCACCAAGTAGATCTGCCCTGATACTTGCGGCAGCACAAACAGTGTACATACACTATGATTTGTGTATGGATGGATGGGTTTGAATGTAGAGGTGTGTTAGAGTGGGTGAAAGGAGGGGGGGAGGGGGAGGAGCGAGCCACTGTCACTGTAATAAAGGAATAAGTTTTCCCAAACTTTTCAGTAGTTTTGCACCCTGAATCTTAACTACAATTCTGATCCAAAGGGTCACAAGGCAGAACTTTCAGCTCAGTCTTATTTTTCCCATTTGAAGTCATTTCTATAACATAGTTTAACTGATCAAGTGGGTAACCTCTACTTAATAACTTATTATTTTCAGATGAAATGGCAAGGCAATGACTGTCAACCTTTAAAAATTCAAACCTTTAAAAATTCAAATTACAAATATTTATTTGTAAGCTGCCCCGAGGCTTCGGCGAATGGGGCGGCCTAGAAATTTTCTAAATAAATAAATATTCCTGAAATAATCTATGTTCTTGACCTCGCTATATTTGATCAAGTCACCAAGCATGTTAATTGAGGGAGGGGGGATTAATTCATCTTTATTAGGGGACTGGATTGCTAGGAGATTGCTAGTATAAAAATAATTTGGTATAAATTTACATGTAAATCTGGTGTTTAATGGACATATATACACACGCAATACAAACATTTAGATTATTTTAAAAGCTGCCACACTATAGTACTCACCACATCACGGAATACAACTGCTCTCAGACGATTTATGTCAACATCTTGAAGAAGTCTATCAGGATCTTTAATAGGAGATAGATTACCAGGCACGTTTTCCAGTGGAGTCTGAAGACACAGCAGTTACACAGTTTCAGAAAGCTCCAGATGCAAAATAGTTCCTCAAGACATTTAAGAACCAAGTATTTTGTATGTCTGCTGTTCTAATGTGATATGTATGTATGTATGTATGTATGTGGTGGCTTCACAGATAAAATTTGCCACTGTAACCCTGACCATGTTCAGTCTACATGAAAACTGCATAGCATTCTCTAAGTTGCTCTGTTACTTTATTATCCTTCTCTGATATCCTCTTTATAACACAGGGTAGGCTTATATAGCATGAACTATCCACACAGGACTTCGACTTGGTGAAGTCAGAAGACTGAGCTTGTTTTTTGACCAGAAAGAAGACTTCCCCTCTGGATTCACAGTGAAGAATAACTTTATATTACTAAAATTACAAATCATTACTGTCAGTTTAATATACTGACAGACATGTTGCAATTATGTCTGTCAGTTGCAGACATTTAGTTTGAACATTGGCACCCTAAATACTTAAGATAATACTCTACCTTAGCAGTTGTAGTTGCACTTATACCCTGAAGAGTCTCCTGAGTTTTACTGCTGATTAATGAAGATTTGTTGACCCTCTCTCTCTGCCTTTGTCGACATTCCAAACAGTTTCTCACAGCAACACAACACACTGGAAAAGTTTAAGAAATTACAAAATATTCAGTTTTTATTGAATATTTTTACACATTAATCAAAATGTGAAAACTGTAATAAAATAATACATTATAGTGCCTGAGGCTGAAATATAATAAGTAACATAAATAAAAAATAGATCTTTCAAATCTGAATTTCATTTTAGTACCTATAAATACTCCTTCATGGATCACTACCTTGTCGTGGCGAAGGGGCTTGCATAGCTCAATGAAGCTAGGAGCTATGCCATGCAGGGCCACCCAAGACGGACAGGTCATAGCAGAGAGCTCTGACAAAATGTGAACCACTGGAGAAGGAAATGGCAACCCACTCCAGTATCTTTGCCATGAAAACCCCATGGACAGTACCAAAAGGCAAAAAGATATGACGCTGGAAGATGAGCCCCTCAGGTCGGAAGGTGTCCAACAAGCTACTGGGGAAGAGCAGAGGGCTAGTACTAGTAGCGCCAGAAAGAATAAAGTGACTGAGTCAAAGCCGAAAGGACACTCAGTTGCAGATGTATCTGGTGGTGAAAGGAGAGTCCAATGCTGCAAAAATCTATACTCCATAGGAACCTGGAATGTAAGATCCATGAATCAAGGCAAGCTGGATGTGGTCAAGCAAGAGATGACAAGACTGTACATCGACATCTTAGGAATCAGTGAACTAAAATGGACAGAAATGGGTGAATTTAATTCAGATGACCACCAGGTATACTACTGCGGGCAAGAATCCCTCCGAAGAAATGGAGTAGCCTTCATTGTCAATAAAAGAGCAGGAAAAGCAGTACTGGGATACAATCTCCAAAATGACAGAATGATCTCAGTTCGAATCTAAGGCAATCCATTCAACATTACAATAGTCCAAGTCTATGCCCCAACCACTGGTGCTGAAGAGGCTGAAGCTGACCAGTTCTATGAAGGCCTACAGCACCTTCTAGAATTAACTTCAAAAAATGATGTCCTTATCTTCATGGGGGATTGGAATGCTAAAGTAGGAAGCCAAAAGATAACCGGAATAACAGGCAAGTTTGGCGTTGAAGTACAAAATGAAGCAGGGCACAGGGTGGTAGAATTTTGTCAAGAGAATACAATGGTCATAGCAAACACTCTCTTCCAACAACCCAAGGGATGACTCTACACATGGACATCACCAGACGGTCAACACAGAAATCAGATTGACTATGTGCTCTGCAGCCAAAGATGGAGAAGCTGACTGTGGCTCAGATCATGAGCTTCTGGTTGCAAAATTTAGGCTTAAGTTGAAGAAAGTAGGGAAAAGCACTAGGCCACTCAGGTATGACCTAAATCATATCCCTGATGAATATACAGTAGAGATGACGAATAGATTTAAGGAATTAGATCTGATAGACAGAGTGCCTGAAGAACTATGGACGGAGGTTCGCAACATTGTACAAGAGGCAGCAACTAAAACCATCCCAAAGAAAAAGAAATGCAAGAAAGCAAAATGGCTGTCTGAGGAAGCTTTACAAATAGCTGAGGAAAGAAGGGAAGCAAAAGGCAAGGGAGAAGGAGAAAGATACAAACAATTGAATGCAGAATTCCAGAGAACAGCTAGAAGAGATAAGAATGCCTTCTTAAATGAACAGTGCAAAGAAATAGAAGAAAACAATAGAATAGGGAGGAACAGAGATCTCTTCAAGAAAATTGGAGATATGAAGGGAACGTTTCATGCAAAGATGGGCATGATAAAGGACCAAAATGGCAGGGACCTAACAGAGGCGGAAGAGATTAAGAAGATGTGGCAAGATTACACAGAGGAACTATACAAGAAAGAGCTTAATCTCCCTGATAACCACGATGGGGTGGTCACTGACCTCAAGCCAGACATCCTGGAATGTGAAGTCAAATGGGCTTTAGGAAGTCTGAGCAACAACAAAGCTAGTGGAGGCGACAGCATTCCAGTTGAGCTGTTCAAAATCCTAAAAGACGATGCAGTAAAAGTGCTACACTCAATATGCCAGCAAATTTGGAAAACTCAACAGTGGCCACAGGATTGGAAAAGGTCAGTTTACATTCCAATCCCAAAGAAAGGCAATGCCAAAGAATGTTCAAACTACTGCACCATTGCACTCATTTCACATGCTAGCAAAGTTATGCTCAAAATCCTACAAGCTGGGCTTCAGCAGTATGTGGACCGAGAACCACCAGAAGTACAGGCAGGATTTCAAAGAGGGAGAGGAACTAGAGATCAAATTGCCAACATACGCTGGATCATGGAGAAAGCTAGGGAGTTCCAGAAAAACATCTACTTCTGCTTCATTGACTATGCTAAAGCCTTTGATTGTATGGATCACAACAAATTGTGGCAAGTTCTTAAGAGATGGGAGTACCAGACCATCTTATTTGTCTCTTGAGAATATGCGGGTCAAGGTGCAACAGTGAGAACTGGACATGGAACCACTGATTGGTTCAAAATTGAGAAGGAGTTTGGCAAGGCTGTATACTGTCGCCCTGCCTATTTAACTTATATGCAGAGCACATCATGAGAAGGGCGGGGCTAGATGAATCACCAGTTGGAATTAAGATTGCTGGGAGAAATATCAACAACCTCAGATATGCAGATGATACCACTCTCATGGCAGAAAGTGAAGAGGAACTAAAGAGCCTCTTGATGCGGGTGAAGGAGGCGAGCACAAAAGTTGTCTTGAAACTCAACATTAAGAAAACTAAGATCATAGCATCTGGTCCTCTCACTTCCTGGCAAATAGATGGGGAAGAAATGGAGGTAGTGACAGATTTTATTTTCCTGGGCTCCAAGATCACTGCAGATGGGGACTACAGCCAAGAAATTAAAAGACGCTTACTCCTGGGGAGGAGAGCTATGGCAAATCTAGACAGCATACTAAAAAGTAGAGACAACACTCTGCCAACAAAAGGGTGTATAGTCAAGGCTATGGTTTCCCAGTTGCAATGTATGGCTGTGAAAGCTGGACCATAAGGAAGGCTAAGCGCCGAAGGATTTGAGGCCGTTGAGTTGTGGTGCTGGAGGAGACTCCTGCGAGTCCCTTGGACTGCAAAGCAATCAAACCAATCAGTCCTAGAGGAGATCAACCCTGACTGCCCTTTAGAAGGCCAGATCCTGAAGATGAAGCTCAAATACTTTGGCCACCTAATGAGAAGGAAGGACTCCCTGGATAAGAGCCTAATGCTGGGCACAATGGATGGCAAAAGAAGAAGGGGACAGCAGAGAATGAGGTGGCTAGATGGAGTCACTGAAGCTGTTGGTGTGAGCTTGAGTGGACTCTGGGGGATGGTGGAGAACAGGAAGGCCTGGAGGAATGTTGTCCATGGGGTCGCGATGGGTCGGACACGACTTCGCGACTAACAACAACACCTATAAATAAGGCAAAACGTTATCCCTTAATCATGTTTAATTTAATTCAGATATTCTATTGCAATTTAACATTTATTTAGTAACAACAATGGGAACAGTGTGGTGTAGTGGTTAAGAGCATGGGACTGGGTCTCAGACGATCAGGGTTCTAGTCCCCGCTCAGCCATGGAGCCAACTGGGTAACTTTGGGCCAGTCACAGACTCTCAGCCCAACCTACCTCACAGGATTGTTGTTGTGGGGATAAGATGGAGGAGGAGATGTAAGCTGCCTTGACCCCTTTGTAGGAAAAAGGCAGGATATAAATTGAAAAATAAACAATAAACATTACAGGCAACATTGCTGAACAGCTATTAAATGGACTGCCTTACATGTTTGCCAGTTACAATAGATGTAATGGGAACCAGTGATTGGTTTCACATGAGATAACAAGTAACCAATGATAATGGTTGCTTGTCATGTTGTACAAATTCAGCTGTGATTAGCAGCCAGCATTTATTGTGGCTGGCAACCACAGTGCCACAGACTAGAAACAGGACACACTGTTGACACCTGCCCCAAATTACTAATTAGGAACTTTGCAGTCAAATGTCAGTTGTACTCTCTGAATAGCAATATGACAAGTGTGGCAAAAGGATGTTGCCATTCTTGTAAAGTGATATAGCAATCCATCATAGGTCAAACAAACCCTACAAGAAATAATGTGTTCTTGTGCCTGTATCTTACCTTGCAATTAAGAGTAAAGTATCTCCAAATAAGAAAGGAAGTAGATTGATATAGACAGAGATACATATTTAAATGCTATTTATTTAAACCAGGAATCACCTTGCTATTGAAGTAGTTCCATGACTTCATGGCAAACTTTTTTTTGTTTAACTAGACTTACAGTCACTCCTGCAGGTCTGGTTTTACTCAGTGCTAGCAGCAAACTGCATATACTGAATTAGTGATTGTTTACTTAAAGCAAATCCAACAGATGAATTTTCTGAATTTAACATATCATTTTTCTTTGTTCATGTGACTTGTTAGAATACTGAATCTGTATTGCAATATATTTATCATGCACTAATGTATGAACTATAATCCAAGTATAACTTGTGCATCTTATTTCTCATAGTGTGCAACATATTTTCATTTCAATTAATCATCTTAGCTCTTTTCACTATATGTCAAATTGTTCTACTTTCTTTGTGCTATAGAATAATCTACTACTGATATCATCTACTGATATCACCTACTACTGATATCACCCAGTCCTGCTACCAAGAGAAATGCTTACTCTCCTTATTAGATATGATGATCCTTTTTTATTAAACTGAGATGAATGTTTTCCTCAAAAATTGGAAATTAAATAAAAATAGTTCTGCTCTTCAGAACTATGAATGGTTCTGAAGAGCAGATGTAAATGTCTGCTAATTACCATAGTAAAATTCATAAAGAGAAAAGACATTATGCAGAATTCTCAGATATTACTAGATTCTAGATTTTGGGAGTTGCTGGAAAAACACCAAGGAAATGTCCTCTTCAATGGATGCAAAGTCTAACAACAGACAGTTGAAGTATGTGTCAAAATGTGTGTATGTACATGCAAATACATACATACACTCTCTTCCCCTTAAGTGTATTTTTACAATTGGTTAACAACATTAACTAATGTTAACAAACATCCCAACGTTATTCCATCAGAGGCAAAATCTGGAAAATTGGTTTCCAGAAGTTTTTTTTTTTAATTCTAGCCTCATTTCATTGATCTGTACATAATTATTCAGTGAACATAGCTGTTCTATGAAACTTACCAAGTCTTAGGCACTGTCGCATTAACCCTCCAGAGGACATGTTTTTTTCAGCTTCAATTTCACTAAAATTTAGTGAACTGGCAAATACTAGTACATCAACCATAGCCATCAGACGACTGAGGAAAGTCACTGCTGTCTCTGCTGACATACCCTGAGTTACTTCAATATTCTCCAGTTCAGTCTTGAAAAGAAAGACATTACATTAGACTTCTAATGAAATGCACACCCTCATTTCCTCAATGCAAGTTGTCTAGGATGGAACTGAAAACAAACAGTACAGTAATGAACATGAGAAGAAATTCATTTATACTTGCATGCCATATTAGGTAATATGAAGTTCATATATCACACAATAAACTAATTCTATCTATATGAGCCAATGGACTATGGTAATATGGGTATGTGGGACAAAGCAGGAAAGAGTTTCATTTTTGTTTATGTAAGTATCCCATACCAATGACAGCAGCAAAGGAAGATCAGGAACTCCCACAGAGTTGCTGCATCATTCTGTATCACTGGGAAACTAACAGCAGAATAGCACTAACACACAGTTGGCATAGAATAAAGATTTGGTTTTAACTCTGGATTACATCAGTAAAATAAATATTGGTAATATGTGGACAAATGTACAATCTATTTTGTTTGCACAGTATCAAAAGAAACAAAAATGACTACTTTCCTGAGGGGAGTGTCTTGTGAAAACCACACTTGATAGTCTAACACTGAGACAGTTCTTAAGAAGGTGACAAAGTAGGCTCTAAGTAATACACCACAATATATTTGTTAGTGCTTATGATGCCACAGCACTCTTAATTCATGTGAAATGTAATGATGTTTCAAACTAATCCTATTAGAATTGTTTAAGTAAAGTTGCAATAGAATTATTGAGCACTGTAAGGCAATGTTGTGAGAAAGTTCTGTTTACATGGTCATAACTAGAAAACCCATAATTTTCCATGTACAGAATGTCATAGTTACTTTCAAAAGTGATATGCCACAAGTGCCAACAGTTATATTGCAATCAGACTGTAAAAACACATTAACTTTACTATACAGCAACCACAGAAATTCTTAAGATTATATAAGCATTTATATGCAAAAAGCATTATATGCTCAGATTAATATATGGAAAACTATAATATACTATCCTAATGCATACAAGTCTGAATAAATTTGTACTAATTGTATGCAGACCTATTATGTCCTACATTGTAGGTTACAGTGAGTTAACAAATTAAAGCTTAATTTGAAACATTCATTTTCATAGGAATATTTATAAACACTTTGAAATACACTTTTGCTATCTTTAGAAGACAGGGGAAAGGACTGTGTAAAAGAGCATGTATTTGCAGGAAGAGTTCCCATTTCTGTTCAGTTGAATAACTAATTCACTAAACAGATGGATTTTACATGTTAACTAGAGCATCCCTGATTTTTTGCTCATGACATTTCTCAAGCAAAAGAAAACTTTGGAGGAATATAAAATATCCTCATGCTTGTACTTTTTAAAAAATGCTATTAATTGCTCATTCTTGTACATTTGTCTAGCTTACTTTTCCCAATGTTCCAGCCACAGCACCATATAACCATTCAGATCTGGCTACATGATAACATAACTGAGTAAGGAGTAAGCACATGCTGCTTATTTAGTTGGCAGTCATATGGTGAGGGGTAGGCATGTTCCCACTGCTGATCTAACGCATTGTCTTGGCCACAAAAGTACGCTGAGTGCTCAGAAGGAGATTCTTACAGGCCTTTTCACTTGAGCTTTTTTCCCCCTAACATTTTTCTACATCTGCAAGGCTTGGTTTTCTGCCGAAACTGCTGAAACCACCTTTACTTATTCTTTTTGTATACATGGTGCCTTTTTGGTTATGTAAGGGCAGTTACTTAGAGCACAATTTTACTATTAGTATATATGATCCCAATCTACTTCTGCTGAATTAGAGCTGGATATTGGCTACAACAAATTTGTTGTCTTGACAATGTTGACAAGTTCTCTCCCTGCAGCATACATAGTCGCATCCAAAAATGACAAGATGCTTTTGGGAGAAAAGAAACTTTTGCAAATTTCTGCTGTTCTCTCTTAGTTCTACTATAGTGTGAACACTGTCCATGCCTTTCATGAAGAATGTAAACATTAAAAACAAAAATAGAGCTAGCCATTTTTATTTTAGAGAGCTAGCAATCCAACAAGTAACCTTTAATTCAGTTACTTATGCAGAGCTGTGCTACTTTAGCTTTGCCATTGAAATTCCTCGGATACAACTGGCTACAGCTAGCCTAAACTTTAGTGTGCATTTTCCTGAAAAAAGACCACATTTACTGAGTTGAGTGCCTTGAGCTAGATATCTCCTTCTACATGTGGTAAAAACACCCAGAACAGCCTAAGGGTTCCCAGTAAACAGGCCATGGAAGAAGTGCATTGGTGCTGCAAAGTGGATGGTCTTTCCTCCCACATCATACTGTGTCTAAATTTAAGAGGCTAGCTCTGCCTTTGGCTCAATATTTTAGATTACAGTATTACAAACAAACAGTTGTGTAATGCATATCAAATATTGTTTTTTTAATGCTGGAACAGGCTGAAAAACTTAAAAATGCAGAAAAAGTAAAATTAATTCTAAAAGCTAAGAACTGAAACTTGCAGCTGTAATACTAACCTTAGAACCCTGGACATGCAATAGACAAAGCAGACAACAGATCACAACAAAAAGAAAAAGAAACATTACAGTCAAATGAAAATACAATGCAAAGTTGAAATGAATTTTCTAAAATTGATTAACAAATTGAATATTTTAATTTTACAAAGAAATCTTGAAAACATATTCTCTATATATTAAAAGTCAATTTACATATAATTGATTGATCTATGCAATTCAATATACACATACTGAGATAAAGAAGTAATAAATATGTCATTAATTAGTACATTTTATTTGGCATACAAAAAAACGTCCTACTACAAATTGAATTACCAAAACTGAAATAGAAATTCAGGCTCAGCACTCCATGTGTGAATTTACCAAAATATTAACTTAGGTATCACCAAAAATGATATGGGTTTTTCCTGTCAGAGTAACATGAAAATTTTGGTGTATCTAAGTTATACATTGCTGCCAGACATTTTGAAACTTGGACATTTTCTCAAGTGTCAAGGATCCTGGGATATGGCTGAGAAGGCAACAGAGTTATCTAACATTCCTTACATTTTAGAATGGAATATGTTTTTTCAAACAAGCTATCCTGTGGATTCAATTGTCTATTTATTTTAGGGTTGTTGTTACCCATGGTGAGCTGGGTGGTACTTGAGGGATATTGTTAGAAGGTTTCCCGTGCCTGCAGAATGGCCATTCTTACCACAGGCTCAAGAGTAGACATTGTAAACTGCTGATGAGAGGATCTGCCTCACCTTGATGAGAGAACATGGGCCCCCTTGGCAAGGAGCAATGCACATCTTTTCCAGTGGCTGAAATGGTCTACTTCTGAGTTACTCATAAGAATGAATATACACAAGAGAGACAGAGACAGAGACGATAGAGATAGATATGGTAACCTGTCCATGGAGCTAATGGGGCTAATGGAATGGGCTAAAAATCTAATAAATAATAAATAAAATAATAAAGATGGCCAGGAGGCAAGAGGAGGTGATTCAAAATGTGGTGCTACCCCATGTTTATAGTGGTGCTGCTGCTGAATGGACTGGGCACTCCACTTGCTGCTCTTGAGTCGGGGATGGGACCAAAGATTCATGCAGTGCTGTTGCTCCATGTTTGGGCTTAGCACTGCCCATTGGTTTAGGTACCCTGCTCCCTCTGGAGAGCTCAGTCACTTCCCCTGTCCTCCCTGCTGCACTTTTGTGCATGAGGCTTGTTAGCACTAGAGGGACCAAAAAGAATAATCATCAGTATCTGTCCCCACAAGGCAAAGGGCACCTCTGCCTTGAAATGCAATGAATTCAACTTCCAGCTTCATTACACAAAGGGGGCTCTCTGAAGCCATGGGGAGCTTAAATCAGCACACAATTGTGGCTGTCTGACTCATTCCTGCTCATGGTGCCCACTGGAATATTGCCTGGAATAATAAAGGGGAAAGGAGAGAGAAGGATGGCATGAAGTAACTACAATGAGCCTTAAGATGCATTCAGTCACTGTAATTATGTTATATATCAATTTGAGTAAACTCCTCCTGCTGTAAATTCTGCTTCATGATTGCTTTTTAAGTTATGAAATCTATGTCACATGATATTTTCATTTAAAAATTAATGTTCAGATGTCACTTGGAAACTTGTTCTCTCTCATTTCTATATAGTTATTCCATTATTTTTACTGTAAAAAATGTGGCATAAGTATGTATTCCAGTCCCATGCGTTTTGTGCACAATCCTAATAAGCAAGATTTTTAAAATAATTATTACCAGAAACAGTGATCATACGCTTAACTGACAAGGTAGCGTAAAGTTCAAGAGAACTTGACCATAATGATTTTGTGTCCTATTGGAACCTTTCAGTCTGTTCTTAAACAGATGTAGTGCTGCTTATCTGCAGGAATGTAAAGAAATCCTAGCCACCACAGCAACATAAAACAGACATAAAATCCTTCCTTATCCCCTTTTCCAAAATATTAGAATATACCACTAGCTCTTGCTTTTTCTGAAGCAAGGAAACAGAAATTATTCCTAATTGCTTCTTTTTATGAAGTATTTCCTACAATGTGTCCAGAGGTGATATCACGGCACATGAAATAACAAGAGGTTAATAAGTTGTATTCTAAATATGTGAAATAAGCTGGTAGAGAGCCTTGTCCCTGCTGTGCTAGTATGTCCTAGCAATGATTCAGGGTAGGGAGACATTCAAACATAAGAATCTCACTTGCAGCCTCACATGTTATAGGCCATCCTGTTACTTCAGAACACTATTCCATTGCTTTTGAAGAGTAGGCCAACTAGAAGTTTAGAGAGCAAGAGGTATGTGTTTGTATACAAACTCTGTTTTTGTTTGTATCAACAAAAGAATTCTACTTTAGATTAGTGTACTTTGGTTCCACATCCATGTTTACATATTTGAGTTTTTAAAATGCAATTCCCTCTTTTTAACTAAGGGCACAGTCTTATGCATACTTAGGTAGAAAATACTCCTATATTTCTCTGTTTACCCCAGGCAGCATGTAGGACTTTTTTCTGTCTAATCATTTACAAGTCTGTGCCTTAGAGTTTCAGCTGTATACCACTGCGAATATATACCACTGTGATTATTCTGGGAAGCTATTCTGGAAAGGTAAGACAAATACATTTAAGAAAAGGTTTAAGAAAAGGATATTACAATAGTGATTAAAACTTATATCCCTTTTGCAATGGGACACAATGTCTGTCCGTTTAGGAAAACACTTTTCACTTTCTCTTTATATGAAGGGTTTTCAGTAATTATGAAAAATATATAGGTTCACAGCTCATAAAACTTGAAGCAGAATTTAGACTTTGCAGTTCTCCACTAAAATGCATTTCATAATGTCCTGGGACTAAAAAGATTAAAAATGGTTTGGACCTATTATATCATAGCCATTAGCAGGTACATAGCTTTGGTCACCATGGCTTATAATTTTTAAGTGTCTTAAACTGAAAGATTTATATTTAAATCATACCTTCATTACCACTAGAAATTATGTTAAATGGATATTCCTATTCTGAACATTTTTTTAAACATCTGCACATTTTGTTCTTTTAGGGCAAACTGTACCAAAAACAAAATTCTACTGATGTATTGTTCCTGACATGCAATCTACAACTTATCCACTAGATGGGAATATTGTACTTACAGTTGGGGATGTTGCTGCAGACAACAATGGTAGAATTCCTCCACAAGCAATGATAATATTGTCAACCATTTGGGAAATGAGGTGGATAGTATTATGTACAAAGATGATATTTTCATTGCTATTGACAAAGTCCATAACAGACTTTGTGGAATGGCTACAAAATATGAGAAAAACTATGTTAGGAAAATAGAAAGTATATTTTTAAAGCAGATATTGAAAACAACTGTTAACAGTAAGAAATCATATTAAGTGATTTAATATGCAAACAAGTTCACAATATTCACAAAAGCTCATATCCAACAATATTTTGTTACTAGTCTACCAACCCATGCTTGCCAAACCAAGTCAATTGTGACACCTCTACTACTGGAAGTAAAACAAACAAACAAAAAAAGCTCTTTCACTTTATATAAACTTCCCTGCCTAGTGAATTATAGATGCTTCTTACTTACCAAAGCAGAGCCTATATTTTCCTAGTTGCCTTCACAGTTTTCTAAAAGACTTGCAGCAACAAATTGAGGCCTTATGGAACATGAATTTTAACAGTTGATATTTTACAATAACAGTAGTGTTGAAAGCCATTATTTTCTGCTGCTCTTTTGAGTGTTTGCTTATAATGCAAGGATGGTTTGTCCTGTAAATTTAGCTTGTTAGCTACCTTGGATTCTTCTGATGGATGTTTTAACTGCATTCATTAACAGCATGATCCTGTTATGGATATATGAATATGCCTAGCCAGCTATAGGGGTTTTTTTGAGGCACAGCTACCAGGTCAGAACCGTGCTCCAACCTCTCTGAGCTTCAAGTACACCTCCTGCCCCTGCAGCCAGTGCAGATTGCACCTCCAAGGTCACAAGAGAGGCTTTGGAAATGGTTAGCAAGAAGGCAAGGGAGGAGATAGGGGCTATCATGATGCAAAGTATCCTGACAGTTTCTCAGCCTCCTTCCCTTCCACTCTGAAGCTTAACACCAAAACTGGCTATCTAAGTATTTTGTGAGACAGGAGGGACATGGAAGCAACCTTCTCCTCTGTGTTCCTTCTGCCCTGCACAGATTGCCCTCTGAGAATATTCCTCTGAGTTCAGAATTTTACTGGAACCCAGCTTGGATTGCACTCTGAAAAATAGCTCATTTAATGGACTGATTGTTAACCATTGTTAAGGTAATTATCACTATCTCTACTTCATGCATATCAATTGCATTTAACTTCACTGTTTATAATCTCTCATCCTAAGCAATGTGTATATATTCCTACCAAGTAAGAATAATATTTTACTGATCTGGTAAAATAAATAGAGACCACAAAAACCTATAGCATAAAATTGTTAGATTATAATGTGCTACAAAAAGCTTTCTTATGAACCAGTATATTAAGGCTTAATATTTAGTGCTTCAATCATATTTTAGACTTATACTGCTCTTTTATGCTGTGACTCAGTGAAACCTCCCATTTTGTACAATGAAATAGACTTTATAGGTCAGTTTTGATGTGAATGATGCCTAGGATTCATGAGCCTAACTTGTTAATTCTGAAGTCTGTTTGTCCGAATTATCATTTAAAACTGACAAATTCATTTTATGAAAAGCAAGTATTGTGTCACACCAACAGCAAAATGAATACACAACATTGACAGAAACAAGCATAACTACCTAGTATTATTAATATGTAATAATGGCTTAAATTGGGGTCCCCACTGTGAGCCCATTAAACTCTCAACTTTCAGTTCTGCTCCAAAATATTTTTAAATAAACTAAACCTTGCAGAATGTTAGGGTAGTTTTCTTTCCTCCCCCTTCTAGCACTAGCCTTGAATGATCAATCCCTTCTGTATCTCACTATTTCTTCCCACCACTTTAACTCACTGTTTCTCCCCCACCTGGCATGCAGCCCTGCTATTTCTCTACACCTTCACCTTCCTGTTTTCTCCTAACTTCTAACCTCTAGTTTCATTATTTCTCTCCTGTCCTCTTTACTTAGGTGTTTCTCCCGACTTCCAGCCTATAGTCTTGCATGTTTTCTGATCACCATCTTCAGTTCACTTTTAATTAGCCAGGACTCCATTGTTACCATTAAGTGACTAGCCAAATCCTCTATAGGAACCATTTTGGGGTGGAGCCCACGATAGTTTCTCAAATTCCCAATTGTGTCCACAGGTCCTGCTATAAATGTTCTTGTACCATTATCCTATAAAAGAACCTTACCTTCTCCAGACATGTACATCAGTTTCTAAAGCAAAGAGAAGATCAGTCAGCAACCTCTGGTGCATTGGAGACCACTTAAACTCTGGGATTCGAAACATTGTTGTTCGTGGACCTGGACTAAACTGCCGCCTCTGTTCTTCTGTCATTGGCATTCCTCGAAATCCCAAGTCAACACGCAAGTCTCTGTCCTGCTGTGTAATGGACCGACCTTGCACAGCCTGAGCAAGCAGTAAATAATATTTGTATTTGTTTAAAATCTGCAATGCAAAATCTGGCACATAATACCAGTCAAGAATGTGAAATACATTCATATACATTGGAATAAGATATATAAAGTGAGGATTTCACCCTTTAATTAAGTAAAGCAATGAAATTAGCAAGTTACCCTCTATGGAACTTCATCTTGGTTTTGTATTGTTTGATAAATCAACTTGATTAAATTTGTATGTTTGAATACTACCACATATAAAACAAAGAACAAAGAAGATGCTTAATCTCTGTAATCAAGAGTATTTCATTTCATGAACATGTAGAAGTATATCCTGAGTTAAAACTTGGACAGTATGTTGAGCAAATATATAATTGTGGCTATCTGCTGGGGCATCAGTTAGTATGTATATCATTCAAATGTAACATCAAAAGGCTGGTAGTTACCTTGCGCTAAGGCTACAACATATATGTGATGTTCAGTTTGCACTCTGTCAAGAAACAGAAATGCTGGCACAGTTGCTGGACAGAAGGAAGTCCCTACTGCTGTGAGAGTTTGTCTTTACAGGCTTGGAAATTAGCCCATTGTTGTAACAAACTGTGGACTAGGTACTCTACATTTTTTCTTTGTATGCAATAAACTCTTGGACATTGGGCCAAATGTTCTATGGAAGCTTCCTTGAAGCTTTTTGCTTGCTTGCTTTTTGATAGGACACATTTAAAGAAACAGCCCTAAAATCAAATTCTGTACCAAACAGATATTAGACTTTAGGCACTCACATTCATACATTTGACTAATTTGGGTGTTGGAGGTTCAAAATATCTAGAAGAGATCTGCAAAGTACTGAACCAATATGCAGGAGCACCTTGAAAAAGATACAGAAAGGATGTATAAAATGTACTTAAGATGAAACCTTATTTTCCAAGGCTCCATGTAAGGAAACAATAGCTCCTAGAGCCCCGAACCCTGGTCTTTCCACGGCATACTAGAGTCCGTTTTTTTCTCCATTTAGCATGCCATAAGAAACTGAGCAAGAAGCAATTGCCATATGATTGCTAGTGCAAACATCACTTGCTTCTGCTTTTCTACCAGTGCCAATATTTTCAGTACCTTGCTGTGCTACATGTGCTCAGTGTACATGTCATATGAATATATGTCACCCTAAGTGTTTCAGCACCCAGCCCCTCCATCTCCCTCCTTCATTTTTAATTTTCAGCTGAAATCAGTGTTTTTGGAGCACACTCTTAGCATCGTAACATTTTGCTGCTCCAGGACAATGCTTCAGCTCTGATCAGATGAAAATATTTCAGTTAGTTTGTTGTACCTCTCCTGTCTCATGCCATGACAATGTAGCAGGACTTGGAGAGTGTCACACCCTGTTCAGGCTACATGTATCCAGCACTCACAATCAATGCTAACTCAACCAGCTTGCTTCTCAGTGTAGCACAAAAACCTGTGCTATTCCTTATCAGAGGCTATAAAGCCTTCATATGTTGAAAGGGGGGAGGAAGGCAGACAGTCTTTATAAGCCAATGGGTACAGTCCTTTAAATATGTCCTAGCAAAGAACTGCAGGAATGTTTTGGGGAAACTTTAAACTAGTATCAAGGGGCTTATGGGATATGTTGTCCTTGGGAGATTATTACATAATCTATTTTGTAAGCACTTCTGTCCAGTTTGCCCCATGGCCTACTGCAGGCTTCCCTAACTTCCAGGGGGATTTGACTACAAAGCCACCATTCCCAAGAGTTGCAGTCCAACACATTTGGAGGGCTGTTGAAAAAGGTCAGTGTAACATTACAAATTCTTTGCTTTACAGAAAACAGAGCAATCAAAAAGGAGTCAAGAGTCAGGCATTGATTGTTGATATCAGAATGCTAGAGAACTTTTGACTCAATAGTCAAAAGCTCAAGAACATTTAAAGACTGAAAAAAGACAGAAGGAAGGAGAAAGAATCTAGAATTGGACATGGTAAGGAAGAAGAGAGTGGCAGCAAACAGTGGCTGTACAGAGGAGGAGGAGACAGCAGAAGATAAACACAGGAAAACTGAAATCATGAAAAGCATAAACCGAGGGGATCCTGCAGGGAGAGAAATAATTCCACTGTATTCTTACAAGGCAGCTGAAGGCAGATTTCAGCTGTAAGTCACTGAGTTTTTCAATTTAAAGATCACTTTGTGCTGCTCCTTTGCCAGAAAGAACATGACCAGAACGATGACTTCAAGCATGAGTCTTTGAACTGTAAATACTAACTGGAAAGGAAATTAGTATTAGGTCAATGGCTAATGGTAGCGATAAGGAGAATGGATTAGTAGAGTCATAGATGCTTTCTTAAAGATGCAATAACATTCAAGCAAGCACCGAATAAGGACTAATTTTAATATGCTAATTTATGTTGCTGCTAAATTATGTTGTAAGTTTTAAGGTAGTATTATATTTGACTGAACTTCAAGTAAATATCACAAGTATTCTGGATGATGCCCATAACCATCATCATCTGTATACCACCCATAGCTGAAGTTCTCTGGGTGGTCAAAAACAAAACAATAAAATACAATACAAATACCATAAAAACAAAACCACATTAAAATATTTTAAATAGCTAAAATGTACAGTAAAAATGACCCTGTAAAAAGTAAAGTAGCTGGGATGGGTAATCCCCAGAAGCCCCTTTGGAAGCCAAGAAAACCTTTAAAGGTCTTGGCATAAAGGTCTTAACCTGGCACCAAAAAGAAGACAAGGCTGGTGCCAGGTGGGCCACAGTGGAGAAGTTGTTCTGCCACAGAGGAAGTCCTGGCTCTTGTTCCCACATTCTATGTGTTAATCATTTACCAGTGGCTCAGGCTGATGGGAGTTGCCATCTAAAACATTTGGTTCCCTACTAAATTACCCACCCTATCATGCTTATAGCAAAGTCCAGTTACTATGTACTAAGAGGAACAAGCCATTGTACAAGTAAGAGTCAGTGAAGAAAAAGAAAAGGGGCATCTATAAAACTGGTATCCATATGGTAATATTGGTCACAGGAAGTGGGCCGATCCTTCACATTTGTGGATGCTGCATTAAGGATCCGTCACAAAGCACTAAGTTGTTAAAATGTTGTTTTAATAAAATCATCTAACCTTTAAAAGAGGATGTTCTTAATTTATCTGGCAGGAGAGGATGGGGATCGCACAGGTTTTATCATGAGAGCACAAAATCTGATCTCGTAATATGAACTTGAAATTTCAAAGATCTGTATTTAGACCAAATTGCACATTATGTGAGAAATCCATTGGCAGTTCTCACAATGTTTTCATTTATAAAGACTGCCACAAGGGCCCTTGAATTTTTTGAAGTAGTGATGGCAGGGAAGATGGGTTCATCCCTTCTACATCATGATGTTTTCCTAAAACAAATCAGCCATCAAAGTTACATTTGCCATGCTGTTCACAATAACAGCGATAGCAACATCAATAACCTCTCTATTTTCTCCAAACATACAAAACAAGTTGGAGAGTCAATTAGCGCAATGAAAATGCACAGGTTTTTCACCCTGTACAACAGCTTCCAAATAAAGTTGCACCTTGCATGGGTGCTTTCAAATAAAAATAAAAACACTGGGAAATCTGATCACCAATTTCCCCAGTAACATATACATTGGTCCATGGTGCTAATCTGTCACTTGTGAATTTAGTTGCTGTGATATGTATTCTAAATTAATAAGAATTCATACACAATTAAAAGTATAATTTTGGTTAAGTCCATTTTATTAAATAAATGTATTAAATAATAAATAAAATATTAAATGGGAACACTCTCAGGAAAGTATACTGTGCATTGTAAAGGATACCCAATCTAACATTTTGTTCTATAATCTTATTCTTACATCCTTACAAGAAAGCAAGGAGGCTTCTTATACACACCAATGCCCAGCTCAGTTAGTTGTGCTAGGTTTTTTGCAGTTGCCTGAAAGATCCACAAAGATACTGTACACAATGTTTTAAAATTTTGATTACAAATTGTAACATGCAATTTTAATCAATTTAATATCATTTGTTTACTGTTATTTTGCCTTTTAATAGTTGGACTATTTTAACTTATGGTCTTACTTTGCATTTTTTAAGGACAATCTGGTCACTGACCATAATAAACTGCTGTGCTATGCTACATCCTTATTAGGATAAAACCTTACAAGATGTCCTATCATATGGTATTTCTATTAACATGCATTACTATATAATCTATTATATTAGCAATATAACATGTATTATAAGATACAGGATATAGCTGGTAAGCAAGCTTCCACTATTTGAAGTATAGCAAGAATATGTCAGGCAGGCTGTTGTGAATATTACAAAAATACACAAAGTATAACTGCATGAATACAAGAATAAGAAGGGGTATTCAACACGCCTACTGTAAAAAGAACAGCATTGGGTCACAGGTACTATTTTTTCTTTCTTGCTGTAGTTACAATGTCTTATTAAGAGCCAGTTCACACACTGCACCACATGAACAGTCCCAACTGTCTGTAGGTGTGCATTCATGTAGTCAAATATAAATTGGTCAATCAAAAATATGACTTGCAGTGATTCAAACAACCACTACTGCAAAGGAAGTCATGACAGCCTGTGTGAAGAATAAATTTACTGGGTGAACTAGTGTTCATTTTTCATCTTTCAAGACGATCGACTAGATTTCATTTACAGAAAATGGATTTTCAGGCTTCAGAGAGACCTGCAAATACTCTGCTTTTGAAATAATTCTTAAACTATGAGCAGATAAAGATTGCTGCCTGCGTGATTACTTAAATGAAGAATACCTCTAGCTGCTTGAACAAATGAGTACCTAGATAATTAGATGTAGCATTATATACTTAAGTACTGAAAGGTACCTTCCTGTGCAGAGGATACCAGGTACCCACTTGCAGGGCTAGGATTGTCTTCATGTTCCCCTAACCCCCAAAATATTTGTGCACTATTTTCAGCCATCTAAAAATATACCCATCTTGTGAGTAGCAGAGAATGAAGCACCACCAGGATTCTTAAGACTTGCTTCTCCCTCTTTGCCCTGTCTGTCCTTGGAGTCTAACTGGCACAGAAAGTATTGCAGGGCAGATACTTCTGAGATCAGAGTCCAAGCTCCAAACTTAAATTCTTTCCTAAGATCAGCACTTGAACTCTGACCTCTCCTATATTCTACCAGATAATAATGGGAGACCAAAGAACTGCAGTCTCAGAACACAACCAAAAAAATCAGAAAGGGGTAATCAAAGGACTGGAGCAAGTTCCTTATGAGAAGAGGTCACAATATCCTGCTTAGAAAAAAGGGTGACTAAAGGGATGTATGTTAGAGGTGGATAAAATTATGCATCATGTGGAGAGTTTTCTTTCTCATCATATTTAAATGAAGATGAATAAGTGGTGGGAAAACAAAGCAAAATAAAACAGTTCTAAGCAGAAGCTTGCTCCTTTCTATACCAGGCAGGGTACAGAGAACACCGAACTAAATTACACTGAAGAGTCTAACCCATTTCGTCTCCTTGTAAGAGCTAGTTACGGGGCTGGAAAAAAAATGTTTGGAAGCTAAGGAGAAAAGCACTGCATGTGTAGACTATAGTGTGCATCAAGGAAAGTGCTAATAAGAGAGTGTAAATCTGAACATAGAATATGTTAAAGAGTGTAAGTGCTCTCCGTACCCTAACAAATAAGAAAATAGTGTGCTTGTTAATAAGCATACAATGACAATCAAAAAATGTAAATGTGCTTTGTTTGATCCAAGAGGTGTGTAGCATTCCAAGCAAGGAATCACAAGTTTTGCAAGGGAAGTCAGCAGTTAAACTGTTAACCAATCAGAATATATAAGGTATGCCAAAAGCGTATAAAGCATATTAGATTACAACGGTTCTTTCTTGCTACCTCTCAATGGTATTCACCTCTTGCAAGTTAAGATAAAGCTTCCTGTTAGTATTTTGTGTAGTAAATACTTTATTTTGCAAGGACTTACAGATCAAATCAGGGAAGAAGCTCCAGCCTCCCCGAGACTGAACTGAGAGTCCCATGATTTTGTGCCATCTGGATGTTTCCAATTTAAAAGGGACCATGTAACTCTACCTAGTAGCACCTGACTATATTTAATGGCACAAAGTATTTGTGCTTATGTTGTAAATGCTTGAATTTCTGATTGGCTGTCAGCTAAAGGGTTATTAGGGTTCCATGTTTGGATCAGAAGAGTCACCTAGAATAACAAAGAAGGAATGTGGGAAGAATCTTGGAAATATGCTTTGTATCCCTTTGCAGATCCAACTGAAAGGGAAGAAGAAAGGTGTTATGCTAATCACAAGTTCCAGATGACTAACAAATCTTTTGTAAACAATTCCAACTTCCTGAGCACAAGAGAAGAAATGAGGCACTGCTCTGAGGATTTGGGAGAAAGACAGGGAAAAAACAGTCACATAGTTTCGGTTTTTCTTCAGTCCATTACTGTAAAATGTCAGTAATATACAGAGAGCAAATACACCATGTGTTTCAGATGCAATCTGAAGCTAACTGCATCATACACAGGAGCAGATCATCATAGTTTATTTTTTTGTTTCATATGGGCAACTAAGGATTGGGGTTTATTGGTGTTTGCCTCAGAAGAATACCTTACAGAAGTTAATACCTTATATTTGGTCTAACACAACTGTTTGTAGTACAACAGCCCACAGAGTTATGGATCAATGCAAGCATACACAGTGTGGGAAAATTTCTATGCCCATCACTGACGTGTGTAAAACATGCATTTCCTGTGTTTCTTGTGCTGAACCTTGTCCCACACATCTTTTGCCTCAGGACTCAGTCTGAGCCTGTTAAGTTCACTGCTAGGGATCTTAACTGAAAGAAAAGCATGTCTCAGAATATTTGCTCATAGTGTTTTCATTCAACACCAAGTGTCCATATTAAATTTCCACATTTCCACTGACATTTCCAGGAATATGCTAACAATGCAGTAAGAATAAAACATTATTTAACATGTATTTTTAAGGTCAGTTTGTACAAGACACATACAGGAAGCTACTACAAAGTTGTAAAATTTTTAACACTGAAAATTTTCATAAAAGTTTTCCAGTTACATTTTGTCCTGAAATCTCACATCATTGATATATATCCATACATCTCACGCACATGTGTGTGAGATGGCCAGTAACCATCTAACAGTACGTCATGTACATATTATCATGTATCATAAAGGTCACAATCTCATAAGATCTACATTTTATGCATTTTGCATAATATCTACATACTTTGGGGAATGCCAGCTGCATTTCATACCTTCTCCAAGCAATAAACTTATTCTCTGGTATGTACAGATTGTCTCAACAAGCACAGATCTCAAAGACACTTAATGACAGCATTTTGTACATTCTCTGGACAATAGACTTCAAAGAAAATGGGAACACTTCAACAAAATGTAATTATAATTTTCAAATCTGCCCAATAATCAATGGTCTACTAAGCATGTCAGGGAATGTAGAAACATAATAGAATTATAGAATAGTAGAGTTGGAAGAGGCCAAGAAGGTCATCGGGTCCAACCCCCTGATAATGCAGGACACTAAATTACACAATCCCACTGAGACGACAGAAAACCTGATTCTAGAATGAATCTAGTGTGGGAGAGGCCACAACCTCCCTAAACAATAGGTTCCATTGTTGTACTGCTCTGACAGTGAGGAAATTTTCCCTGGTATCTAGCCAGAATCGGGTTTCCTGTAACATACGTAAGTCTATTATTCCGTGTCCTGCACTCTGGAATGATTGTGAAGAGATCTTGTTCTTCCTCTCTGTGACAACTTTTCAGGTACTTGTAGAGTGCTATCATATCACCAATCCATCTTCACTTCTCGAGACTGAACATGCCCAGTTTGCTTAATCTTTCTTCATGGGGCTTCGCTTCCAGTTCTTGGATCACCCTTGTTCACCTCCTCTGAACCCTTTACTGCTTTTCTGCATCTTTGAAAACGTTGGTGTCCAGAACTGGTCATTAGTATTCTAGCTGTGGCCTGACTAGTGCTGAGTAAAGGAGAACTAGTACTTCACATGATTTGAAAGTGATACTTCTATTAATGCAGCCTAAAGTAACATTTGCCCTATTTGCAGCTACATCACATTGTTGGGTCATATTTAGCTTGTAATCTACAACAACTCCAAATCTTTTTCATTTAAGAAAATAGTTTTGTACATCTAGGCAGGAAAAGCTTCTGCTTCAATAGTTACACTCTAGGATTTTTACAGATAACATTTTCCTGTTTGTGCTTCTACAAATGTTAGCCAAGTAATATATGAAGAGCATGAGATCTTGCATGGTTTAATAAAACCTGCTTATATAGGATTTTCCCAAAAAGACACACATTTTAGATACTATTCAATGAATACATTTTATAATGTATGTTCTAATATGGGTACAATTACAATGTGTAAAATACTTACTTGAGTTGTAGTGGTAGTCTGGATTTTTCTTATTTCTTTTCCTACTTCCTTCCCATCATCGGATCTTTCTGTATCTGATATGATACTCCCTGCATCTACATTTGGTACAGTTTTGCCGCCAGAAGACTCAGTCTCAAGGGTTGTGGCAGCCATTTCAGCATATTCTAATCCTTTGGATGATGAAGCAAGTTCTCTCTCAGAAAGAGTGCCCATTGCATCCACAGAGGTATGAATCTTGAATTCTTTATCTTCTATTATGCTTGAACTGCATGCTATGTCAGTACTACCAGTCATGTGAGCAAGGAGACCAAGGTCATCATTCACACCAAGGTGCATTTGGGTTTCTTGCATATTTGCAATAGTAATATGATTGCTGGACAGTTCAGGGAGCAGTTTCTCATCCTGGCTGGGTATTTTATCAAAAAGAAATGAGGTATTGTTAGAAGGTTCATCCTTCTCATCAGCCAGTGTTATCAAGGGACCATTGTCCTTCTCTTCACTTTTCTTAATTATTCCAACACTTCCATGAACATTGTTCTGAAGTTTTTCAACTGCAGCACTATATACATTGTCTAGTAAAGATTCTACTTCTACAAGAGCACCATTCTCTCTGGTTACCAAAGTTTCTGGCGATAGATCCATATCATCCAGCTTGACTTCTGTGGCTTCTACTTTTTCTGCTTTTATATCAACTAAGAGATCATGAACTTCTACATGCATACCACCCCCAGGTCTATCTGAGCTTCCAAGCACATCATCCGATACCTTTGTTGCAATGAGTAAATCTCTGGTATCCGTACTGACAGGGTAATCAGTTTCACTTTCTGGGCTTTGGCTTTGTGAAAGATCTTCTATTTCACGAATCTCCATTGCACCTTTTGCTCCAGTCGTCTGAGCGGAAAGGCCTGAAATAGTGCTCACATTCCCCTTTTTCCCCTTCTTTATATTCTCTTCTTCTTGCCTTTGATACTCCTCATACATTTTCGCTAGGTACTCCTTGTGAGCTTCATAGGTGACCTTAATACAAGCAAATTATAATTTCAATATTTAGGTTAAATCAATTTTATAATACTATGATTCAAAAGTCAATGTGAATACTTTTACTGTATTAAAATTATAAAGATGTAAAGCAGAACTGAAAGTAACACAATGATAACAAGTCATACTGCATATTATCCACAAGATGGCACTAAATTTTATGTATGACATATAATGGTTGCTAAACTAAAACTAACACTTACCTTTGAATGGGCTATGGAAAGAGTATCAACCCAGACCCTCCATCCTCCCCATTCATACTTTATTGCATGGTATAAAAGAATACGAAAGATGTTGTACACCATCTCAGTAATTTTCTGTTCTTCAGAGTTTTTAGGATTGATATATCCCAGTGAAAACATCCAGTCCTGCCACACTGAACACTGAAGTAAACATCTAAAATGAAACAGTTCCAATATGATAACATGGCATTTGACCTTTTCCATAACCATAATATATATGACAGTAATTTTATTCTAAATACTACTGAAAAAGTTATTACAGTTGCATTTTTTTCAATGAAATTGATTCGCCTCACACAATCTCATTTAAAATTGCTGTATCTCCTCCATGTACAGGTAATTAATCCCTTCTAGACTTCTAAAAGAATATCCACATTGATTCAAATGTATACAGTTATAGCTGCACACCACTACCTATACTCTCTCTACTTACACAAAGATAATACTGATGCAGCAAGCAATGAGGTGGAGTTAGAACTGTGAGATGTGCCTAAGACTATGAAGCAGAAGGTTATGCAAAGTAAGATCCACATCTACTACTCCTTAAGAAGTCAGAAAACAAAACTACTACAGTTACTATGATAAAATGGTGTGAAAAATAAAGCATTTTGGTAATGAAGAACAATATGCTAAGCAACAGCTGGAATGTAAACGTCATAAAAATTATTTGGGACCAAAAAAAAAACCCAAGAAGGCTAACTTTTCAAGATGTTACCATCTTTTACATGAAGAAACCAGAAAATGAAGAAATAATAATAAAAATCAATCAAAGACAAGAGATAAGAAAACAGATTAGCCTCAAAGTGGTAAGAAATTAGGTATCTGCTGTCATGCCCTGAAACCGTCGCTCCCTATTGCACACCCACCCCCATTCAGCATCTGTATGAAGAAAGCATGCAGACACAAATGTTTATGGCAAGTGGGATAATTCTGGTTGTCTCAGGACTCTCCCTTGTGTGGAAGAGGCCTAAACACACACATCCTTCAACCCTGACACCAATCACATGGTCTGCAAGTGTGCACTAGTGTGTAGAGTGCATGTCCAGCAAGCAAAAACTTATTCCCATCCTCATATGCATGCATGAAAGAAAATGTGGCCCTCCCCTTGTTTTATGCACACACACATGCAGATACAGATTTTACTATCTAAAATAAAAATAACATAACTCTTACATACCTCCTGTTTTCACGGCTATTACTAAAAAGTTTTATCATATCAGATAAAAACAGACGTCGAACTTCCATCAGTTCTGCACTCGGTGTAGAATTCTTTAATAAAGTTGCCACCACCTTAAGAATCACTTTAAAAGAGCAAAAATGTAAATTATATTTATGAATTATTAAGAGACAGTCACTGAATGGGGCTCACTAGTTTCGGTCACTGTGGTTGTTCCATAAAAGGTACAACCATGCAGGCAACTCAGCCACAGTCATTCATTAATTTTGCCAGAAGCCCACAATGCTAAGACTTCCATCCTGGTTTGAAAGGGGTCCAGTGGGAACAGAAAGAATGGAATGCACCAAAAAGAAGCACCCTTCATTTCCTTGGCTTGCTTTAGTTTTCCTTTCTACCAGCTTGCTCAGCAACATGGAGTACAGGAGAGACGCAGTTCAGAATATAGTTATGCAGTCAATCAGCTATGCAGTCAAACAACTTTCCCATAGGTACCCTAATAAAGCATGTGTACCAATTCTCAAGTATGCAAAGAAGTTAACACAGTAATGCCATGTAAAATAGGACAAAACTAAAATGTTCTTACTGGGGTTTTGAATTTTCACTGTGGAATCTGGTTCTGGATGTGGTTTATGAACAACTTGGGTACACACTTGTTCCGTCAAAATCTACAATACAATATTGGTTACAAAATTGGTTATAGTATGAGATTATATACTATATGAAGCGTATAAAATATAAATACTGTTCATTACTATAAAATGCACATATGTATAGAATAACAATATGGTGAAAACATCTGATTTGGGTACCTCACCATGTTTGTAGTTATTTTGGCCCAATAGCTTGGACATGTAGCATTCCAGTTCCACCCCACCCCACTTCAGCTAAATTCTGTTCTTCCCAAATTTAAAATTGACACTCATGATACAACAGGCATATATTTTTATTACATATTCTCAGGGCTTTTTTTTTGTCATAGAACGCACCGGAACAGCGTTCCGGCACCTTTTTTTCCAATGGATTTTACAAAGTGATTTTGAATCGCAGCAGATCAGCAGCAAACTTCATTAACATAGTGCCTGCAGCCGGCTTTTGTGTCTGCTGTCTGATAGTGAGATGGTGAGGGCGCTGCTCTCGGCTTTGGACGCTGCTCCGCTTGGGCTTGGTGTGTGTGGTCGCGGGCTTACTGCCGGCAACGTGAGTTCTGGCACTTTTTTTTTTTTTTTACAAAAAAACACTGCATATTCTGTCTCAGTATGAGGATAAACATGTTGCATACTTTGTCTTAATTACCATGAAATTGTGTGTGCTTTAAAATAAATCCTGTTATTGATCTGAATTAATTTACATTAGTGACTATCATGCCTTAACAATTTTGATAGCATAATTAAAAGCTGTATTTTACATATTATCAATTCTATGTATATTGTAACAGTCTTTTTTAATTTAAAATATTTTAAGGTCTTTTAAGGTAAATCACTATAAATGTACTGGAAAAAAATTATTAGCAATGGAAATAGGTTAGATTCAGGAAAACAGGTTTGCATATTTGTATACCTTTTTATTTGCACAAAAGCTTTGACTCTTAACATATAAAGTCATTAAAGGAAATTCTTTAACCTTGAAGGGATTTGAGACTGGAGGCATCTCTTTCACTTGTAACCAACAATATAGGGTTGCATATATCCATGTATTTCCATGTGTTTGGAAAATATGTTTTCTTTCTAGAATAGTCTGTTGTTTTTTTTAAAAAAAAACCTATTTAAATATGAATTTTTAAAAGTATTTGAACCCATTTTGTCCCAAAATATGAATTTTATTTTGGAGAAATGACCAAAGTGATAAATGCATTCTAACTGACACTTCATAGGATGTGTGAATCCATTCAACTCATTAAGTCATTCATAACACAGTTTCACCACTTACTAACCATAAGTTCAAGAGAGTAATGCTGCAGCAATAATTGGCAAAGCCAACATGCTTCTAGATCCCAGAAAATCTCTCAATTAATTGAATATTGAATTTGCCTCCATGTTGATGATTATTAATGTTTTAATTATCCTACACTCTTATATACTTGTCATGTGGGGAAAATAGTGTATTCAAAATCTGCTAGAAAACAGTTTCAAGTATTTTACTGAAACAGCATTGCTGCATGATAGATTATGACAGATATCCTGATAAATTTTATTTAACAGGACAGATGTACTGCTTGTTCAGGAGCTGAGGATCTGAAAGAATTGTTAGTGAACTACTGTCTTCACTTGAAATTTGTTATATCTTGTATGGCACTTAACTTGAGATTCTAACAGTTTTAGAAAGATAAGGAAGCATAAGATAATAAGCTTAAGAAATATTTGGATGGCTATTACATGTCTTTATATGTTTAAATTATGATTTGTCACAAAATGAATCACCTAGTCAGAAGAAACAGGCTTTGTTAATACTATCATAAAAAACTGAAGATTCATATTATTAGAGAAGAAACATTGTTTACACTCTAATAATAGCATTTGGACAGAAACTCTTAAATATTGAAACACATGTTTCTAATAATTTGCACATTCTATACAGGATGCTGCATTAGATTTTTTAAAAAATATATTATTAAAAAGGTGTTAGTAATGTGTACCTCATAAAGTGTGTTGTAAGTTGTAATGGTCACAGTATTTGTATGCAACATCAACCTTTCTCCAAGAAGAGTGAACAGACTGTGTGTATGCATAATTTCAACTTTTCGTCTACAAAGAATAAATACAGAAGTTATCATACATTAAATACATGCACTGCAACAGTAGTCAAAAATAAGCATTATTTAGGTAGAAATAGGTATTGCTAAAAACTTGCAAAATTACAAAGAAAAAGCCCAATCATATATGAATTTTTAACTGGAAAAGGAGCTGAATAAGAGCTGATTAGTAATTGGAACATTTCACTTACTTATGGCCAAGATGTTTCAAAAAATATCCCAGCACCTTCAGAGCCTGCACCCAGATGCTCTCACTTTTTGAAGCCAATAATTTATAAATCACCCTAAAGAATGTTTTTAAGCAAAAGAAAAAAAGGTAATTTCAAATAAGTTACTTCAAAAAATACTGATGCTTTTAAAGGTTTAATTAATAAGCTGATGACACGCACTCTTCTTTGCATATTAATGGCTGAAGCAGTAGTCATGATAGACTGCCACCTGGCCAAAGTATGGACAGGATTATGATAAGTGAAGCTCATGCAACACAAAGCATAGACACTATTAGTAGATGACGTCTTTGTCTGGATAATCCATGCTTAATCTAATTTGGAGGTGGTCACAATCCCCTTAATGTCAGTGCTGGAGTTCCACATCTTATCAAGCACCCTGTCATAGTCCTACTATACTATAAACCCCTCCCTAAATTCACACCTTCAGTAAATGTGATAGGTGATGGAAGAAGTCTTTGGAAATGTTGAAAAGTATGTCAGATATGAAAAATCCACCCCAAACGATTTTTTAAAAAATGACAGAGGGAGAAAGTCAGCAAACAAACTACAAACTGGGGAAAATAAACACTTCATTTATTTACAGCCTTTATAGCCAAAATGTCTCCGAAACTGGAAGCATGACAGTTTCTTCCTTTCTTGGGGTTACAAACTAAATTTAAGACATGAAATATAAGGAATTTTTTTGGGGGGTAGGGGAAATTTTTACTTAACAGTGTTTAAAAAAAGCACCATTTGAAGGTATGGCATTAGTGACAGCTTATTTCATCACCTGTTCACAGGACACTTGGTTCTGATAGCCTCTGTGTGAGGGAAGGTGGATGGTTCCATCTTCCCTGCAGATGGAACAAGAACCAGGCGCAGAAGGGAGTGATGGCACTCCAGGAGATACAGCTTAGATATTTATTATTATCAATGTCATCTCTGTACTGCTCAATAGCCACAGATCTCTGAGAAGTTTACAGCAGACAAATTCATTGTAATATTGCCAGGAGAAAATGAAATAATATGGTTCTTAAGGAAACCTAGTTCTTTCCAGACAATCACTGTTTTGTGCAGTAAATATAATATGTGTTCAGGACAGAATATACATAGGGAGAGAACATGCTTGCTATCAGGTAAAACACTTTTTAAAAATTAGAATTTGCATTAGATACACATATAGTACACATAACATGTCAGAAAAATGAATTCATAAACATATTGCTATTTCTGATTGATGAGGAAAAGAATTATAAAGTAAACCTATGATGGTCTCTGGAGATATCGTTATGATCTTTGGGGTGGGAATTCCATTGGACAGAAAAGGGAAGGAGGAGATTCTGGGATCAGTTCTATCCCAGACTATCTCCATGCTCAACCACGCATTACCAACTAAGCTATCTGGGCTGACAGCTAAGCTTCTTGAGGCAAGACAGCATACACGTGCCTCTGCCACCCACACTGCATTTCCTCCACTGCACCTCCACTCACCCACTCTGCCGTTCCATAACATTTCCCTGTTAGCCTCCCACTGCTGCTGCTATTCTCTGAAAAGCCACATCAGTCATAAAGTGTGATCCCCTGAGAAACTTCTTACAATACTTGAACAGAAGGTTCATTTCAGTGCCAGAATTTGGGCCTTACTGGCTTTCTAAAGAAAGATGATGGCCACTTTTTCTGGCTGATTCTGTTCTACAGAACCTACATCTGGCTTGTGCTGAATTTCTCAGCATGTGCCAGAAGGTTGGGCTGACAGATGGGCTGGGCTGACAACTAAGCTGCTGTGAGTAGCTACCAATCCTCTTTTTCACTAAGAATGAAGTGATATGGTTTCTCTGGAGAGCTCAGCCAGGACTTTCCTATGCAAGAAGTACCATGGTGAGCAAGTGACTTGCAATTTCTGGAATGGCTTTCTGGAACACCCATTGGAGGAAGTGGGCTTTCCTCATGGGTATAATGGAGGGAATGATACATTTTGGCATTTTTCCTGCTCTACTGCCTGAAGCCCTGGCTTCAGTCTCATCATGGGAAGGCTGACCATCCATGATTAAGTCCATTTGGTTTTTGTTTGTAAAGGAAGTTGTAAAGCCTGTGCCCTCATCTCACCATGACTTGCTCTTGCCAGTAGGAATGAGAACAGATATGAACTCTAAAATCAGAGTCTGTCTACTGTCCTCGGTCTACTACGCACCAGTAACTTTGGACTGCATTTTTAAAGGATTATTATTTTCACTTATTCTTACCGTATCCCATTCCGTTGATCAAAGGCAGGTATCATAGATGCTGGATGTTCAGACATTAAAGCCACTAATAACTGAAGTACATCATGAATGTTTTCATCCTACATGACATATCAAGGAAAAAAAGTGTTATAAAAAATACTATTTCTATCAAATAAGTCATTTTGAAAAATAAACTATATTCATCAGCCAGAAAAGCTCTAAGAATATCTCACAGAGGAATAAAACCAAAACAGTTCTTTTCCTTAGGCATATAACATACAAGCTACCGCAACAGATCAATGTTAAACTTTAGAATTCATAACTATTTCTACCTACCTCATGCATTGTTAGCAAGTAATTTAATATACTTTGTAGTTCATCTTCTTTGACTCCTCGATCCTGCACAGATTTAATTGATATTTGTTACATTTTGACCAACTTAAGGCAAGTTTTCACAGAAAATGTTGAATAAAGCCATAAACATGTGAATTTGCCCTTGTTAAATTTGGACCATTGATTCAATTAGTTTTTGTCTAATGTAACTGACAACAGCTCTCTAGGTTCTCAGACATAAGACTTTTCCAGCCTTGCTACCCAGGGGCTGCACCTGGGAAATACTGTAAGCAAGGCATGTACCATTAAGCTGCATCTCTTCTTCATATTATGACTTATCTTAAATTACTATAATGACATTTTCAAGCTATTTAGAAATTGCTCAGCTCATAGTTAAAACTACAGAACAAGATAAACTGATGACTACCTTTAAAATGATCAGACAAATCCAAGGAGAAGGATAATTACCAGTATACAATATACCTCCAGCATCAGTGTCAGTATGCTTCTGCACAGCAGTTGCTGGGGAACCTGAATGGTGGGGTGCTACCGCATCATGTTCTACTTATGAGTTTCTTACAGGCAGCTGATTGGGCACAGTGTAAACAGACTGTTGGACTACATTGTTTTGACTCAGCATGGCTTTTATTAATTTTTAAAATATTCTTATTCCGCTTTAATGATAAACCCTTTATGTTTTTAGTTTAGAATGCAGCACTTGATTTGTATGCATGGCACAGGTGCTTTTGAAACTCAATTTAGATGGTAGAAGTAGTTAGAATGGGTCATAGATGAGTTGTGGTGCAAAGATTTTGCATGTCTAAGGTTCTAGCTTCAAGTACTGGAAAAAGTCTTTGTTTCCAACCCTACTGCTGTCAGTTACAGTACACAATAGTGGGCCACATAGTCTGACTCCATAGAATATGAACTTTCTATGGATTGCACAAACCTTCTCCTTTTGGAAAGCTGGAAACAAATTCTAAAACCAAAATGTATATATTAAAAAAAATTCACTGCACCCATTGATAATATGTTGTATAAGGTTTTGACAGAATCTTGAAAACATACTATTCTGTAAGCAATGAAAGATAATTTAACAAATACTTCTTCACATAACAGCATTAATTAAGAGCCATGGCTGATCTTTATTGGCTGTGAAAGTTAGACCATAAGGAAGGCGGAGCACCAAAGAATTGAGGCCTTTGAATTGTGGTGCTGGAGAAGACTCCTGGGAGTCCCTTGGACCGCAAGGAAATCAAAATAGTCAGTCTTAGAGGAGATCAACCCTGACTGCTGTTTCGAAGGCCAGATATTGTCGATGAAACTCATATACTTTGGTCACCTGATGAGAAGGAAGGACTCACTGGAGAAGAGTCTAATGTTGGGAACAATTGACGGCAAAAGAAGAAGGGTATGGCAGAGAATGAGGTGGCTAGATGGAGTCACTGAAGTGGTTGGTGTGAGCTTGGGTAGACTCTGGGGGATAGCGGAGGACAGAAGAGCATGGAGGAATGTTGTCCATGGGGTAGTGATGGGTCGGACATGACTTCGCTAAACAACAACAACAAAGGCTCATCTTCCTGTTTTAATATCCACTAATATTCTAAAGTGTTACCTTCAAAATTAGCTGTTTTAAAAATAGAAGCATGAATGCACGTAGTGATATTATTTCCTTCTGTGATGGCCGAGGGCCTTCTGAAATAAATGAAAAAGAGTGGCTCAGTTCTAGCATATAACAGAACTTCAAGCGATTCCGGATGATTATTTTATCCCCAGTATTATATTTCTTTTGTCTTAAAGACAAGAAGACCCTGCTTCCAAAGACAGCAGAATGTCTTTCCATTGTGCATTTCAAGCTTGGGATCCACTGACCATAATGTCACTTAGCATTAAAAGCCATCATCTTTCCTTGCAATTTTGTTTCCTTGCAATACTTATCTTGGAGTTGCTTCATTGTAATTGAATTTATGAACCACATGCTTTGAAATGAAACTTTTCTGTATTCACCAGGCAATACTAAATGTTTCTCCTCAGAAGCAAGCCCCTTCTAAAAATTCAGTGTGTATACAGCTACAGCCTTCAGGATGTTAGAACCTCCTTCCTCAAATTGTATTCCTCCACAAACAGTCAAAAGTGGGACAACTATGTAATTGAAAAGTTTAATAAATGAAATGAAATGAGACAGGGTCTCTTATTACTAACAGAAAATAAAAGTACTGGTATTGAACTCATAAAAATATATACATTTTGAGCAGGGGAAATGGAAACTGCAGGCAGAATCGAAAGGGTTACTTTTGTCCCTACTGATTTTCTTCTGCCCTGCACATTGTGGAGTACAAGTGATCTCATCACTTGTTCAGCAGTGATTGAACACTTCCAAGCCAGCCCAAAATGAGTGGACACACTTCTTTTTGGAAGGAGGCAGGTCAACAGAACAAATGAGAATACAAGTACCTGAGAAGAGCCAGGCTGGATTAGACCAAGGGTCTAGCTAGCCCAGCATTCTGTTCATACATCAGCCAACCAGCTATCCATGTGAACCCACAAGCAAAGCATGAGTGTAACAGCATCTTCTCACCCATCTTCCACAGCAACTCATATACACAGGCACAGTGCTTCTGATACTAAAGGCAGAATATAGCTATCAGGACCAATAGCCTTGCTAGCCTTCTCCTGCATGAATGTCACCAATCCCCTTTTAAAGCCATCCAAATTAGTGGCCATCAACCCATCTCTTGTGGAATTGAATTCCACAGTGAAATTTTCATTGTGTGGAAAAGAAATTCCTTTTATTTTCCCGTGAACTTCCACTAATGAATTTCATGGAATCATCCTGGGTCCTTGCATTATACAAGAGGAAGATTTTTTTTCCCCTATGGCAGTCTCTTCAACCATGCATAATTCTATATGCCTCTAACATGTCTCTCCTTGCTTGCCAATTTTCTATGCTAACAACTGCAGGTGTTATAACCTTTCCTCATGGGGAAGTTGCACCAACCCTTGATCATTTTAGTTGCACCTCTCTGCAGCCTTTCCATTTCAACCTAATGCTTTTGTTTAGGCACAGTAACCAGAATTACAAAAAGTATTTGAAGTGTGATCACATCAGATATTTTTAAGTGTAATTATTTTCAATTCCTTTCCTAATTATGCCCTAACATGGAATTTGCCTTTTTTTCTTTCCACAGCAGCCACATACTATGTCATCATTTTAATCAAACTGTCAATCATAACTCCAAGATCGCTTTTCTTGGTCAGTCACTGTCACTGCTAGCTCAAATCCCATCAGCTTATATTTAAAATTGGGATCATTTCCCCCAGTGAACATTACTTTACACCAACTTACATTTGCCATTTTTCGGAGCTTCTCACAATCCCTTTTTCTTTTAACTGTCCTAAATAATTTGGATTCAATTTGGCCACTTCATTTATTACTCCTAATTCTAGATCTTTTATGAATAAATTGAAAACAACCAGTTCTAGATCCCTGCAGGACTCCACTTTTTAATTCCCTCCACTATAAGAATTTACTATTTCTTCTGTCTCTGTTTTTGGTTCTTAAACCAATTATGAACCATAAAAGGACTTCCCCTCTTATTCCATGAGTTTACTGAGGAGTCTTTGGAAGGGACTTCATCAAAAGACTTTTGGAAATCCAAGTAAACAATGTCTACCCAGCAAGAATGTTCACTGATATTGTCAAAGTACTCTGAAAGGTTAGTGAGATAGGACTTACCTTAGTAGAAACCATGCTGAGCTTGTCCCTCTATTTTGAGTTTAATAACACTTTAAAACAATTTACCCAGACAGATGTTAAGTAAACCAGCCTGTAATTTCCCAGATCCCTCAGATCCCTTTGAAAAAATGGTGGTACAGTGGCCATTATCTGGTACAAAGGCAGTTACATAATTTTGTTAGATCAACAATTATTTTAGTTCTTTAAGAACTCTAGGATAGCTATAACCTAGATTGTGCAGTTTCTTAACATTCAGTTTTTCAGAAAGACTGACAACCTCAGCTATTTGCCTCAGTTCCTAATACTTCCTTCCTGAAACATCAATTCAGGTACAAGTATTTGTTCTGTGCCTTCTGTAGTGACAAATTCATTCAGTTTTTCCATTTTTGTTCACTGATCTAGCTGGTTTATTATTTCATTATTTCTTTACTTGATATTTTTAGCTATATGCTCCCCAAAATACCTTTTTTGCATCTCCTTTTGTTTTCCTTATTTAGGCAAGATTAAGTTTCCTTAGGAAGCCTTCTTATTTTTTTATACCTTTCTTGGTACGGTGTATTAATCAGTCTGGCAAGCTTTTGGATTTAGTGCTACTTAGTGGTACTATTCTAACATTCTAGCTGAGCTTCTATTAAGGTGGTTTTGAATAACCTAAAAGCATTTGAAGTGGATTTAACCCTCTTGACATCTCACACTTTTAATTTCCTTTTTACTAGGTTACTTGTTTTAGAAAAGTTGCCTTTTTTTAGGTTAAATGTGACTCTGCTAGACTATTCTAGCAATTCTCCCCTTAAATATATATTAAATCTAGAAGCACTGTGGTCACTGTTTCCAGCTTGTTCAAGAACATTCAACATCACATACCGGAACCTAGGAAAAAACTACATTAATTTAAATCCAAGGTTGCCTGTCATCTCTTTAGGTCCATTACCAGCTGTTCTAAGACACAATCATTTAGCACGTCAAGAAATTAAACCTCATAGCCATGACTGGAACATGCATTTATCTATTTAATGTGGGAGTAACTGCAGTTGTCCATTATTTCCAAAATGTCTTATTTAGAAAGCAAAATCAGGAAGTCCTCAATCTCAAAATCACCCTAAGCATTCTGGTTTGGGGAATGTTAGCATGTTCCTGGTACTAAATTATTTTGGGACACAAGTACTCTTGAGTCTGTTGGACACTGCCTTCTTTGATGTACAGAACAGTATCTCCTCCACTAAGCCATTCCCAGTCCTTCCTATATAGTTTATATCTAGAAACGACCGTATCACATGGGTTCCCTCCATTCCAACAGGTTTCCATAATGGCTACTATATCTAGTTGCACAAGGAAATCCACTGAGTTTCCTCCTTCCCAAAACAAGAATTTCCATTCATGTTGAGCTTCTCCAAGGAAGCACTAACTCTCCCTCATTTAAGCAGTGGGTCCCATTTGTTCAATAGAGGTTGTGCAATGGAATTAGTGGGACATTAAAAAGTGCCTCATCAGATACTTTTCTATAAGCACATTTTCTGCAAACCATCAACATTTCTTACCCAAACCCTTAGGAGTGATGCCACTGCTATCTGCTGGATTAACCACCCAGTAGTAGTATTTCAATGTGTGCATTAGCTGTAATACTGTTCCGACTCTACGTATTGTCGTATAGATTGTGGCAGTGCCAATGAATTCAGCAGACAAGTAGGTATAGAGTGACAGCTGCACCTGAAGATCATTATAAAAAGAACAAATGAGATTAATACATCCAGTTTCCTATTTTGATTTTCAGTGATGAATATGTTATAAATAACCTGATTTGCTTATTTCAATTTTATTTCTATATTGACCAAAGCCCGTAACAGAGTTGCATAAACCAGACACTACATGACTAATGACAAAATTCAAGCAAACAGTAGATCAACCAAAATGAATAATAGTTACTCAGTGAAGGCAGCAATTCACTACATGAATAAAACAAATATAGATTTGAGAAAAAATATTTCTTGTTTTGATTTATCTCTTCATACTAAGTACCTGAGAGCACTGTCTTTAAAAAAAAAAGCCAAAACACTATTACAAGGCCAGTCTAGATTCTACAAATATAGATATGGTTTTGCTGATATTGAGCAAAACCATTAAAACCTTTGTTTCAGTCCAAACCATGCTTAAATACAAGTGAAAACATGAGGGAAATAAACACTGTCAGTTTCATCATTTATATTGCATTATCAATTATATGTTCCTGGCTGGTACAGCAGTTCTTTTCGTCTCCAGTATGATGATTCTTGAACTCCTATAGTGTGCATTGGCTTACTATATGCTAAGAATATTCATGAAAGCGTGTATGCTATGAACATTTTGTTCCAATTCCCTGTGTACCCATTCCAGTTTTACATAGACCAAAGTCTAATAATTTCAATAGGATCAAAAGCCAGTGAGTGAAGCTGAAGAATTTCTGGCTCTGTATTTTCCCTCAGAAGTCCAACTTCAGTAACCAGACATATATATTTTCCTGTCTGTCACTTCATTTTCAACCAGTCCCAAAGATGGACTTCAGCATATAAAGTGGAAAATAGTCCACATATAAGACTGTCTCTGTTTTAAACTTCTGTTTTTGAAACTAGAATACTAGGATGAGACTGTACAAAACTCAGGACAAGTCAGAACTAAAACATATTTGTTTTTAAAAAAAAGTTGGAAAAATATATGGCATAAAAAGCCTAAAAATTAAGGGTCAGGAGAGCCTGCTTGGTAAGAGCATTCCATAAACACAGTGCTACCACCAAGAAGGCTCTTTTCTTCATCCATGTTTGGAGCACTTCATTCAACAGAGACATTTAAACAAAGCCCATCCCACTAAAATTTTAGGGTGCAGGCAAGTGATAAGAAGGCAAGTTGCCATTTATGATGATCGTCACCACAGTTTTGGTTGTCAGAGAACCAGCATTCAACAAATCCACTCACCTTATTCAGAGTGGAAAAGGTGTTCCCTCATCTAAGCGAGCAACACTACGCACCCACTGAAAGTACAACTTCTATTAAACTGCTTCTCCTTCTATCCCATGTTTTCAAGGGAGGAGTAAAAAAATCTTCTGAAGGCTAGACTTTCGCAAACACACACACACACACACCTCAGCATTGCCTCACAACTGCTTTCTTTATAAAACAATGGGCAGGGAGAGAAACCACACAACTTCTTATCCCCGATGGGTAAAAGAAGAAGCAGTCGCCTTTCCTTTGATTCTTTTTCTTTTTCCATGAAGTAGCAGAAAGGTTGCACTTTCTCATAAAGCAATGGAAAAAGCCAGCACTCAATTTTCTGAAGAAAACACCTCTCTTTTTCTCTTCAGACAATGGGGAGGACAAAAGAGAGCTGGGGTTTGAGCAAAAAGTTCCAAACAGAGGAAATAGCCGAAGTTTTTCATTTGTTTCTCTCCATTCTGGTTGGGTTTTTTGCAAAAACCATATGGAAGACATGGCTGGCACATTCAAACAAAGGTAACCCCTGTCTTGTCTTCCATTTTTTCTGCTTTCTTACACTTTTTTTTTGTTTGCAAGAATCACTGTTCAGGGAACCATGTGCATCCATGGTGGCAACACTCATTTGGCCAGTAAACCAAGCCAAAATTTCTCAATCAGTGCACTAAAAAAACCTGTTTCCTTCATTTTTCTAATTATATTTGACTATACTATAAACCTATTTGCATACTTAACACTAATTTGGGAGCTACTAATGAACTAGAAGTGTGAAATGAGACTTTTACAAAATCCTCAGTTCACTGACCTTTGCAGGAGTATGTATCCAGATAGCAGGGTTGAAAAGGATATGATCACATAATTGCTTTAGTAAAGGTGCTCCGTGTGACAGCCCATCCAAATATTTTGCAAAAGACAAAAACTGTTCCAACACAGCTCTTGTTATATGAACTCTGGATGACTGAAGAAATTAATATAATGCAAGTTATTTTCAACAGATATTCATTTCTATATGCAAAGCTGTTGATGTACATAAAACTGAGGCGGCCTCCAACCTCTTTTAACTAAACTTAATGTAAATATATACATGGTCACTATTTGTAACTGGGCACAGAAGGAACAGCCACTACTACTTCACATTAAATTGAAGGTATTTCTTTGCCTGGTTCCTTGTTTAGTTCATTTATCCACATCATGTATTTCTGCATGGCATTCAACCTCAGCTTGCAAGTGGCTTGTAACATTATTTAAACACAAGAGATCCCAAAGGGATGGATAAACATAGATTGTTCAAATTCATTGATGATCTCCAAATTCTTCCATGTATTTGTCCATTTGGCCTCATTTCTGTTCCCAAACATGAACATTTTTTTCCTTTTAAAACTATTTTTAAATGAGCATATTTTCCCATAAAACCACATTGTTAAATGGGCATTTTTCAAGATCAAATACATACATATCCCAATTGGTGTGAAAATAAAATTAGGAGATTTATGCAAGTGTGCAATTCTTTACACACAGGCTTTGAGACAGAGCGATGATTACATGCCCTGACTGAATACAGTGGTCCATCCTCAGAGCCTGCAATCTTATATCATGGAACCCAAAATCTATCACACCCAGTCAGACATTGTCTAGTTACCATAGCATTGATTGCCCCATGCCATTAAAAGGTAGAGGGCCCAAAAAGTTCAATCCAAATATTAACTTGGAAAGAAGAGCACTTTTCAAGGAAAAAGAAATGAAAATTCAAGAAAAATATGAAGAAGCTCTTCCACCCCATGAAAGTTTCTCCATATAAGAAAAGAATGACAACAAATCCTGTACAATAGTCTTGCTAACATCATGTGACTAACCTTTGTGCCTGATAATTTTCCTGAGACACTTTTTCCATACTCATGCATTAGCATGAATGGACACAAAGTGTCTCTCTGCTACCTTAATAAAACTAGCAAAACACTTCAAGTTTAACAGTAGAGAAGTTCAAAGGAAACCTTCCTTCAAAGGTAGGTTTAAAATGAAAGCTAAGAGAATTCATACAACTGGGCATGTGATATCTATTTTCTACAGGAGCCAACAGTATTTTTAACTTATGTTTTGCAATGGTTCCCCTGTTTTATATTGAGATATTACATAAATTTATTCCTTATAGTTGAATTGTAATAACAATAAGCATAACATAGCAGATGAGATGAACAGCCTATTTAATCCTAGATTCAACTCCCACAATGGCCAAAGAGATGTTAGTGCGAAGCCCATGAGTAGCACATAAGCACATTGCATTTATTGTATTTGTAATCACCCCCAATATCTAAACTTCTCTTATAATTATACATACACACAGGCAGTGTCTTTACCAATTAGTAGCTTCCATATAGCCTGATCCCTTTGGAATTTTGGAAGCTAAGCAGGATTGGACCTGGTTGAAATCTGGATGGGTGACTTAAAGTGTTGTGAGCTGCCCAGACGGTTTCAGTTACAGGCAGTATAGAAATGTAACGTGATGATGATGAACTGTCCATCACAACCCACAGATCTCTTCATTTCTCAGTCACCACCAACAATATTACTATCAGGGTATACCTAAAGTTGGATTTTTTTTTGCCCAAATATACACCACTTTATACTTACATTGATTTACATTTCCAATTTTAATGGGGGAATTTACTATTTATTCACCTCTCTTTCTGTTCCTTAACCAGCTTCTGATCCATAAGAGGACCTCCCCTCTTATCCTAGTCCTGCTAGGTTTTTCAGGTGGTTTTGGTCTGGGACTTTTAAAAATGCAAGTTAATAACATCTGTCCACTTCCAAGTCTGACACTCTCAAAGAATTCTAAAGAGCTAGGGAGACTTAATATAATTTTTCTGAAGACATACTGAGTCTTTTTCAGTACAACCTGTCCTTCTATATACGTATCAATGTTTTCTTTAATAATACTTACTACCAATTTACTTGGAACAGACATTAAGCTAACCAATTTATAATTACTCAGTTATCCTCAAAGCTTTTTTAAAAACAATGTTACATTTGTCATTTTCCAAGTCTCTAGCACAGAAGCTGATCCCAGGTAACATGTGAGAAAATCACAAATTCATTATAGTTTTAAAAAACCCTCTAATATTAAAACCATCAGGATCCAGAGATTTGTCAGCTTTCAGTTTGTCAACATTATCCAGAACTTTCTTGCCAAAATGGCTTTGGTTCTTCAGATATGCTTCCTGAAGCCATCACTTCAGGCACAGGTATCTGCCCTGTCTTGACCAATAAAGGACAGCCAGTTAGCCACTGTGGTGATAACTGGACTAGATGGGCCTTGGAGCTGATTCAACATGGCTTTTATGTTCTTAGAATCATTTTTACACCATCTGATTTTATCCTGATTCTTATACTGGCAAGAACAGGCAACAACAAATACTAACATGGGTAAAAAATAAAAATAAAAGCATTAAACAAACCTATCTATTGAAGCACACATAGAGAACAATCATATGGCCCCTAGATAGTGTCTGGGTTATCACAGGATGCTGCAAATTTCCTATTTGGCACCCAGAACTACAAGCATGGATGAAGAAAGCCAACCATGGATTTTCATTTCTCAAATCCCTTCCCAGTCACTGTAGAAATTTTTCTAATGTGGTCACAACTGTGACCTCATAAAAGTCAGAAGGAAAAAAACAGGACATGCTGGTGAGCAGGAAAGGGAGATATCGGCCTCCCATCCAATCCTGCCCTTACTGCAGCCCCTTAACTGTAAATGAGCTAGTCAGGCTAACAGGATTTTGCACCGAAATAGAGAAAAAGTGCCAAATCACTTCTGTCCTGCTCTGCCTGGCTCTTGCCCTGTTCTAGCAAGCTCTTTTATATCAAAAGTGCGACTCATAGCATCATGTACTAAATTCTTCTTAACCAAATAAGCATTGTACTGATGGGATTATTTTTGCTCAAGGAACACTGTTCCAGAGGTGAGTAACTTCTAAGAATATGTCACTGCATTCTTGTTACTGTAACTTGTTGAACAGAAGGCAGTAACAAGAGGTCATTAACAGCTAACCACACACAAGATGAATCATGACTTATTTTCTGTGGTACATACAGCTTGAACATTTTACGCTGTATAGTTTGCCCAAAACAATAGAAATACAAATTATATGTTATGCATAATGTGAATAATTGTCATAAATTATGTGTCACTGTGAACTACAAGGCAATACCCAATGCAATATGAGTACTCATATACATTATATTGTACTAGCATAAAAGAACTCTAGCACATTACCAACAGCATTAGCAGGTGTGATGTGATTGTCTAAAAGACTCACCACTCCAGCTATTGCTATAGGCGTTGTAACAGAATTATATTGCTATTGTATTTATTTATATTCTGCCTATTCCCAGTACTGGGGCTCAAGACAACTTACAACAATTAAAACTACCCATTACTCCCAACAGACACTGATTTAGCACCAGAACCACCTCCTTAGAATGAAATGGAAAGGAGAAATATAGTTGGATGTCAGCATACTAGTGACACCAAACTTCACAATTCCATACAACATCTCCCAACAACTTCATGTATATGTTAAATAACATGGGGAACAGGAGAGAACCCTGTCAGGGTGCTGAATAGGAATTCTCCAGCACCAGCTTTTGCATCTACCTCTCTAGGAAGGAATCTAGTTACTGTAAAGTAGCGCTTCCAAATCTCATCCCAGCAAGGAATCCAAGCAAGATACTATGTTTAATAATATCTGAAGAAAAACACTGATTAGTTCCTGATGTAGCTCAGCTATCAACACAACCCAAGTTATTTCCATTGCATAAACGGCTGATGCCATTTTCAAATGGATCTAGACATTCCATCTGATCCAAGAATCCCTGGAGTTGGGAGGCCATCACAAGCCCATATTGGAGATTTACAGCAATAATCCATGTAGTATTCAGGGAGAGCTTTTTCAACCTGAGTCCCACCACTGCCTCCTTCGGGCAGGCTGGAATCCTGCCTTGACCAAGGAAGACATTAGCCACTCTGCATTCAGCCCAATAACAGCCAGCTTCTCTGGCTGTTTTTTATGAGTCAGGAAGGGCCAGGACCCTTCTGACACACATTGTCTCCAACCTCTCCAAATATGCAGTCCACCCAAAGTGCCCAATAACACTGGACATGCAGGAACCAAGGTTTTGCCCAATGGGTCTACATCAACGTTTGAACTGCAACCCCCAAAATTCCCAGTCAATGGCCCTGCAGGATGGGAATTCTGGGAACTGGAGGCCAAATGACTCTGAAGGCCACCAGGTTGGTGAAGGCTAAACTAAAGCATCCAAGTTGGAGTGGATCCAAGAAGCTCTGCAAAGTGCTGAGCAAATTGCTCACAATGAGCTGATGAAAGGTCTGATTCTTCTCCTTGTGGGTTAGCGTATGAAAGACCCCTAGCCACCTCAAACAGCTCTTTACAAACATACTAGCAGCACACGCATGCATGCATGCATGCGTGCGCGCGCACGCGCACACACACACACACTTTGCTGCCCAGATTGCCTCACAGCAGGCTCTCAAATAGGCTTTCGCCTGTGTTCAATCCGATTCACACTGAGTTGCTTTATCTACCTGTTTATGCTAGTGGAATGAAATCACTTATGCTAGTACAATATAATATAATGCTTATATTCAACTCAACCCAGCATAGATGTAAATTTTATTTACCTTGAAAGCCACACACCGTCAGTTATGTCAAATAGTTTAATTATATTATATACGAACAGTATTAACAACACTCACCTTTTCAAGGAGGTAGCCAATAACTAGGAATCCTTTTCCACCCAGCATTTGTTCTTGCATGGCTACTGAACTCTTAAGAAGGTCCACCAGGAAAGCCAAGAGAGTAGCACTGCATATAAAATACAGGCATGAATTAGACTGAACATTTCTCACCTTGGTTCTTAGCATTATAAAAACAGAAACCACTTCAGAAGTATCCTTTGAAATCACAACAGTGGCACTTAAGTGAAATTCTTCTTTAGACTGACATAATGCAATAATGTTTGAAACAAAAGTTTATCTTGATACTGACTTAATTGATCCAGGACTGGTTTCTCAGTGCGTACATGGCAATCACTTAAGTCCTGATAGGACTACCTTAGTGCATCACATTGGAAGATGTCCAAGCAAAGAAGCATAAAATTTAACTCCAAAAATGAGTAATTTCCAGTTCATAGTCATAGTTATTCATAAAAAGAATCCCACTTATGAATGTTGAACCATTTCAACTTAAATAATGGACCTAATTCTCTGTAATACTGAGAAGATTGCGCATAATGATGATTAAGATTTGACAAGCCAATATTGTCCAATTTAAAACAACAAGACTGAAGACAGTAAGTCTGTCACAATCAATGGGTTTTTCCATAAGCCAAGTAATACTTGGCTCATTTCACATCGTATTATGAAACCATGGTTTGTTCCTGTCCTTCCCAAGCACTCCAGTTCCTGCATTGAAGAAGTCACAGTTTGCTATCATAAACAAACCTGGCACTAAATCAGTAACCACAGTTTGAAGGATTCCAATTTTGATCTGGAGGCAAATACTAGTTTGTGCAGGCTAGTTTATATGATTCATATGTAACAGCAAACTAAGGTAGAATGAGGAAAGGAAGCATGCATCATAAAGCATGGTCAAATATGGTCCACAAAGTAAGCATATATATTTGCATACATGGAACTAGAATTTGATTAACTGAAACTTTAAAATGCCCTTCATTTAGGAAAATTCAAAGTACAACCTGCAAGAAAAAGTTAATCTAATGAAATACAGATTACATAATATGGATAAACAGTTATCTGAAAGGAGCAGAAGCTATTTAAAAGTACATAGCCTTAATCGATAAAAGAATAAATATTTTGGTTGAAACAAAAGACGAGAAACAATATTTACATTGAAGGCAGGAAGAAAAATGGTCTAAGAATATTTTCAAAACATATCCCCTTAAACATTGAAACCTTCCTGATAGATCTTTTTATCATGTCATCATAAAAAGCATCAGTCATATAATCTAATGTAACATAAGATAGTAAAGAATCTGCTCACTTTAACTTAGTTTGCTGTAAAATGGGACAGGCAATTTCAGGTGATTTGGGAGCCATTTTCACCCATAGCTTCCCTTCCATACCCCCTTGTGAGTTTATAGCAAAAAAGACACGCAGAGTGACTACAAAGTCCTAAAAGGGATTTACAATGTCCAAAGGGGCTCCATGCAACCTGTGAGCTGTGTGTTGCTTATCACTGCTGTAGAACATCACACCATGGGATGATTTGTTCCCATACAACTAAATTGTTTTTTTAAATTATGTACAGGTTATATGCAATTAATACTGCATTCCTATGTATAGAGGAAAGTTTCATTTCATTCAAGGAGGATAATCTTTAATCTTGCAACTTAATATGCTTTGTCCTTCATTCACACTGTCTTTTCAAAAGTATTTTTGCAATATTTTATTAATAATTAACATGTATGATTTGTTTAAAAGGTTTGTGGGACATAACTATTTCAAGAAAGCAAATATAATAAAATATAGATTCCCTTGGTAATGGGAATCCTTAATGGAAATTACCATGTCATTAGGTAATTTATTAAAATCAAGCAATCTGTACCAATATGAAAAAAGCCTTCTGTGTGATACATGTCACTCATTTTCTTTGATTATCTAACAAGAGAACTGGCCAATCTAACTCAATATAATTTACTCCAGATAGTCTGTGCAGCATTATATATTCCAAGCAATAGCCCCAAATTATATAGTTTGCAAACTAGCCAGTTAATGCTACCCAATTTTACACTGAATTAACATGTTATTTAAATGATACAAAAGGTATTTATGGAAGTAGTATCAGCAGTCACAGAAAATTCCAAGAATAGAATTCTGAATGAAAAGCAACATGAGCAAACCTGAACAAAAGTACAGTAACGAAAAGTAGCTCCAAGCTCTAATCAGTGTTTGAAGAATCTATACTGATATAGTATTCTCAGAAATACAAAGGTCTGACTACATAAACAAGGGGGAGATGAAGAAACAGCCAATATTGTATTAGATTTCCCCTTCCATTTGTTTGCTAAAACAGAAGTGCAATACAGGTCCCTTACTGCCAAAGCAAGTAATTATATTGCTTTAAAAAACCTGCCAATAGAAAAGAACTTCTTGTGTTTTGTGTAATCCTAATACAATCAGAATTGCACTGTGAAGAAAATAGTGTTAAGGTTATTACATTATTCTAACAAATTTATTTTTTTCTCAGGCTGGATCTAGAGCAGGGATCTCAAACTCAACTCACCTGGGGGCCACTGGAAGTAGAGTCCAGTAGAGTGAGGCTGGGCCGCATCAAGCATTCCACCACCACGGTGGTGGTGGGCTGCTCATCCTGCGGCCAGCCCGGGCGCCGCAGGCGCTTTGAAGGCCGCAGGACCCCCCCCGTGCCCCGCCTGTCCCGGCAATTGGCCCACGGGCCGCGAGTTTGAGACCCCTGATCTAGAGGTTCTTCATACAAGCAGAGAGCTGCTTCCATTACACAAGCATGCAATTTCTGTCACTTCTGCATGCCGTCAGGAGCCTGCTGAACTCTATCTCAGAGTTCTCAAGGGTCCCCTGCCAGAACTTCAACTTGCTGTCTGGACAGTGATGATAACTGCAAAGCCTTGTGCAACAAGCAGAATATGTTTTTGGTTCTTCATGTCCAACCCAAGAGCTATAGCAGAAATTTAGGAGTTTCTTGAGAAAACCAAATCAATGCAACATGTTTTGGTTCAGTAAATGTGTTAAACCCATAATAGCACATCAGGTAAACAGTCCTTTAAAACTCTAAACCATATTCATATTTACAGCCATAGTATTTGCTACAACAATATTTGCTACAAAGTCTGAATAACATAAAACAGCATATTAAACTACAAATAAGATTTAAACCTAGATAAACTGAATTAGACAAGCAATTGGGATTCATAATTGCCAAGTTTCCTCATGAATCAAGCTATAAAGGCAACGACCATGAATATGGAATCCAATATTGTATACAATGCAATATTTTTTAAAAAAATTCAATCAACTGGATCCGGGTTTAGTCATATTTATACTGCATATATTGAAAACTCTGGATTTAAATTAGTCATTACAAGCTTAAGTCCCTTAGTTTTAACTGAACTATGCTCAGGGTAAATAAGTTAGGTGTTGGGTTGAATCCTATGAGGACAGCAATTGATTTGATATATATTAATTTATATAATATATAGTTGATATATTTACATAGATTAAGATCTTGTATCCAATAATCACATCTTATACCATTTAGGCTTCAGTCATATCCACACTTACCTGGAATATTCATTGAATTTTGTGGAACTTATTTTACAGTAGATATGCATAGGTGCACTTAGAAGTCAGAGTCTATAGCAGTTGTGTCTCATCCCTTTTTATATTTTTATACTGAATTCCATAAATTATGTATTGTATGAAACATAAGTTGTGTTAGGAAACAGATATGAGTAGTTATTTATAGCTACCCCTTAAGTATTCATAATTTCATACCATATTTACTTATTCTCCAACTCTTTTCCTGTTCTGCCAAAATCTAAACCACCTAACATTCCAGTATATCCAGTTCAAAGTGCACTGTACTCCAAGCCTAATGGTATAATCTGAAATCTGTCATAATGTAATTAGTACAGTAGTTTTATAATCAGAAACTAATCTTAATGATACAAAGTAGAATCCCTTCATATTCAACTTAAGCTTTAAATACTAATGAATCTGAAGTAAACACAGGAGGGGTCAGGATATAAAAATAATTTATGAAAATAGGTTTTGACTGCGCAGAAATGAAAGGTAAAGACACAGGTAACACTTGAAGCAGCATAAGTATCATAAACTTTAAGTTACTTTTACATAAATTCTAATGATACAACTGTTAATTTATGTGGCCCCTTACAAAGTAACAAAAGCACCATTTAAAAAAAAGCCCAGAAGTAGAAGAGACACAACGTTACAAAAACAAAACAGAACTTAGAATATATATTGTGTCAGAAGGGGTACAACAACAGGAAACATACAAATTCAGAAATGGATATATTTTAAACATTCACATTTAAACAGTATGTCTCCTTAAGCACTCATGAAAGTTGCCACCCCATTAAGAGCAACTCCACACATAATTTAGGATTATCTATTGATTCCAGTTCAGCTATTCTTGACAACTTCTGACATTTTGACAGACTGCAGTGCTACACTCGTCAGAGCACTGTACTTGGATTTGGGAGTGTTGGATGCTCATCGTACCTGGCCATGAACCTTACTGGTGATTGAAGTCTAGTCAGTGACTATCAGCTTAACCTACCTCACAGCATTTTTGTTTGGATGAAACAAAGAAAAGGAAAACTGCCTTGTAAACTGTACTGGGCTTTTTGGAGGAGAGGTGGAAAGTAAGCACAACAAACATTCTGTGCTGTAGCTTTAATGTAGAATATTAACTCCAAGCATCCTGGAGCAGCATTTTCAAGCAAATTAATTAAAAAGAGAAGCTAAAGGATTACTGTTTTCAATTTAATTTAAAAATTTCCAAAATTTCATTTCTCATTTACAGGGCAACCATATAATGAAAATGGATGCTCTTATACCTACTGATCCATCCATGCAATATTCTTTACACCATGCACCAGACACTCTTCAGAATTTCAGATCAGAGTTTTCCATCCTTGCCTGTAGATGGCAGGGACTGGACCTGGAAACGTTTGTATTCAAAATGTAAATGTGTTCACTGAATTATATAGTCTTTTCATCCTATGCCCCATTCTTATGTACTTGTAGGTATTTTCTTGCAAATGAATAAAGCATTGGTCAAGTGGG